TCCCCATACTCTGCAGCTTGTCACTCACCAATGAAAAGGAATAGAGCAGGTACATTGGTACTCATACCCTGCAAGCTTGCAACCTGTGTCAGTTGAATAATCAAAGTGATAGCTAAGTATCATGACATGAGATGAACAACAAATTGAGCTTCAGGGCACTGGGATTGCCACCTTTGGAATGCAAAAATTGGCCAATTGATTCCAATTTCACTGCATGTTTACATATGCAAGGGTTAAAATTCATTTACCTTATTTAGAAGAAAATTTCCAGAAATTTATCAAGGGGAACATTATGTTTTTGTAATGTACAGTTGCTGTCTGCAGAATGTGCAGACCAATGCATATCAGCAACTGCACAAACCAGTACAATCTTAAGCATAATATGAAAAGATTTGTGCAAAGATTGATAATGCGAAAAGGGAAAATACCATGGGAACTTGATAGTTCTTATTACATGCTTCCCATGGCCGAGGCTCCAATACGTAAGTGCCACCATACTGAAAACAAATATATTGATAGTTATTTCATGCCCAGAAATACCAACCAGAAGATACAAGATCAAAGATCACCATTTTTCAAGTACTATTAAATAAATTTCTTCAATAACATGTATAAATAAAGGCAGCTCAGTAGCAGGAACAACATGACACACATCTAGCAGTACAATGAACCAAAATCTAGACAGATCTATATGAATACTCAACTTAAAACGAAGAGCTATGTTGATAATAGCATCGCCTACAAGCTCCCAATTAGGACCCATATCATGTACAAGGATGAAAAGTGCCTGTAATACAGAAATCATATATTGCCAAATTAAGAAGCTATCCTACTCAGTAACAAAAGTTACAAAGAGCAAGATCAAAGAGGTTGCATGATACCTGATCCTCAAATAGGGACCATGGACGTCCAAAGCAAGGCTGGTCAGCAGATATCTGTTGAGAAGAGCATTTGTCTAACTCATCTAAACGTTTAAATGCCCGGGAGACGAACTGATAAGTTATAGATGAACAGTAATCATGAACCCATACCTTCAACAACTTGGGTTTCCTTCCCTTGTCCCTGCCATTGATCAGTCTCATAAACTTTTGGAATTCAAATGACAAATGCAGATGTAGAGGTGGAATCCATACCTTCAGGGGTTGATCTTCCTGAAGATCGAACACTTGAACCAGCCTATTAAAATGGAAACAAGCTTAATCAAAGTAAAGTTTCAACAAAATGGTGCAGGACTAGCCACCAAAGGGATCAACCTCTATTTGAGTGAAAGAGAATAGACAGAGATAGTAAATGGTGATTGGAAGGAAACCTTTCATAGTCATATCCAAGTGAAAGGGAGGATAAAACATAAATGTAATGATGCAGAACTAGCCATCAAAGGGATAAATTTCAATTCATCAAAGCACACTGAGACAGCTCGTATGGATCGGGGAAAACCCCTTCCATCCACAACACAAACACAATCAACAACCAATCAAATGAATATCACCCGCTAGTACATCATACTCCTCTCTGCTTCCCTTATTTTTTAAGAAGAAGAAAATCAACTGCGTTAGCACGAAGCTACTGTGCAGACTAAACAGAAAAGGCAAAGGGCTAACTATTGTACATGCTCCACAGCTTCCACTAGCATCATCAACTGCACAGATATACAATAATGAATTCGCCAAAAGCAGTACACCGAAACACAATCAATCACCGACTTATGCTAGCATGATCAAGTGAATAGAGATTGATCCCTTAGCAAGGGTGAGTTCGTGGTGAAAACTGACTAATCCACTAAACCACAATATATCAATACTTCTACATCGAATGGTGAGAGCTACCATCTAAAACCAAACAAAAAACAACCAGTCCTTTACATAAAGGAATCAAACTCCCTAAAACTCAGGGACATTGCATGCGAACCTTCTCAAAACCAAATTAACAACAAGAACAAATAAGATAGAGCCGGTGCAAAACAAAAATGAAACCTAACACCTATCTATATCCAGAACGAGAAAGGGATCGAAGAGAGATATAACCTTATAACCTGAGATAGGGACTGAAGAGAGAGATCAGGGAATCGTGCTGCTTGGAATGGATGAGAGATCGCAGATATCGGGCGCCGCTCGAAGTGAACGAGAGAACTGCCGTCGCCCGGAGAGAACGAGAGATTGGGCATGGCACGGAGTGAACGAGAGGTCGGGCGCCGCTGGAGAGACCAAGAGATTGGGCGCCGATCGGAGTTAACGAGATCGGAGAACCGCTGCTCGGAGTGACCGAGAGACTGAAGAATCGCTTGGGGTGAGGGAGGGATCGGAGAACTCGGAATTTTTTTTGAATTCGTTTACTGATTTACTCGAAGGAGTGATGTGGCGGGGGTGGGCGGATCTCAGTGACAATACTGAGCTTGAAATAGAGAAGCGGAGTGATTGGAATAAGTTTCCCAGTTTGGTTATTGAAACAGAGTTGGGCGGTAGCAAGGGTTTCTAAACCCTCGGTGTAAACCGCCATTAGAATATGTTCCGAAAATTTTAGCAGGGGTTTGTTAAACACTTGCTACATAACCCTTGGTATAGGGGCTTTTTGTTGTAGTGAGCATAGCTTGTAGTTGTTAATTGAGATAGACAGATAGTTTAGCCTGTTGACCATAAAGATTTCCTCTCCCGAAAACAGTAGTATAAGCGAGCACTTCTACTATGCTATATAGTATTGGTGCTTTAATGTACAATTTAAAGTTGTACCATAACATTAAATGTATAAGTTTAGGTTGTACCATAAAACAATTTGTGCCCTTATGTTATGGAACAACTTTACAACTTGAAGTTGTACCATCACATAAAGGTACAAGTTCAAGTTGTACCATAAAAGAATTTGTACAAAAAGTATAGGTACAATCTGAAGTTGTACCATAACGTAAATGTGCAATTTTAAGTTGTACCATAAAGACAAAAACCTATAGCACCAATACTATATAGCATTGTAAAATTTCTCTAGTATAAGCATGCTTGTAGTTGTTAACTGAGAAAAGACAAATTAAAATGGAAACACAAAAAATTGGCATGGCTAGTGATCACAATAGAAACGTTAAAGGCCCGCAGGACCAGTCGAGTTGTGCCGGTTACTTACCGAGTCGAGCTGGATTGAATTTTGCCTATCTTTGGGTTTGGCTCGTTGAGAATTGAATCGAGCTCGAGTTTGCCTCATTAAGGAGCTCATGAGCTTTACTTGAGCTTGACTTATGAATTAGTTCATCAGCTCAACTCATTTATAAGTCTAAATAGTTGACCCTTAAATTAAACTCTAAATAATATATAACTTGAATATTGTAATATTTTTGTGTCATATATAATACATGTTGTTAATAATACATGTTGTTAATGGAAAAATAATAATAGTAAAATTTCATCACTAATTGATCTCATGTTTATGAGCCACTTATTCGAACTAGCTCACGAGCCTCATGAACCGAACAAGGATGAGCTCAGGCTAGGATCGTTTACTAACGAGCCAAGTTATGAATGAGCTTTTCTCAAATTGAGCGTCGAGTTGTTCGTGAGTAGTTTAGCTCATTTGTAGCCCTAGTAGTAATTCATGACCTGTCTATTTAATAATACGTATATAACGGAACTACTTGTTCTTTGTTTATGATAATTACACTACGCTTTCAAATGGGGCAGAGAGAGGGAGTAGTCGATTTCCCATTTTGATTTTTTATATTAATTAAATTAATTATTGATTTAAAAAATAATAATTGACCGCTTGAACTATTTTTCTGTAACACCTCGATGTTATGAAACTAATGAAAAATATAAACAACTATAAAAAAATATTAGAGAGGGAAAAACACAAGAGAAGAGAGGAAAAGAGTGATAACGTGTTATGAAACTAATGAAAAATATAAACAACTACAAAAGAAGATTAGAGAGGGGGAAGAGTTCTTCTTATTTCTTCTTCACTTTTGATACAATAGTGTGCTCCATTTATAGACACACTTTGGTAACCACTACATCCTTATATCAATGCATATGTATAAGAGATAATGATATAGGAATAGGGGTTACATGTAACTCCCAAGTGAACATCTAATGTGGTAGGTCATTCGTCATCCATATATCAATAATGACATAATACTCTATCTTTCTTTTTTTGTGTGCCTTCTAGGTACCCCGGGTGAAATCCAGGGTACCGCATACTTTGAGTATGAAAGTGCTTTCTAGACCTCGAATTGGCAGGATTTTTGGACATGATACTATACCCTAACCCTTAATGAGTGAACCCTAGGTCCTAATTATCTAAATCATAAGCTATAAACGCTAAGATGATGTACTGATTTTTTTGCCTATATTTGGACGAATCATAACCGTCGATTATTGTTTCTAATTAAATTGATCTCGGGGGATAAGATTTAAGGAATTAAGACCTAGATGTTGATCTTTAAGGATTAGAGTATAGTATAATGTCTTGAAAATTAGTCAATTCAAGTTCTGTATAGCGTTTTCTTACTCAAGGTATATGGTACTCCATAATGTGGTACTCCATATTTCACTATGAATACAGTAGAACTCCTATTTTTTATATATATTTACTTTCGATATGCTTTGGTTAGTAGTGATATTATATCAGAACTCAAATTGGACTAGCCCAACTGGTTAGCAAACCAAAGCTTAGCCCAATTAAGTTGGACCGACCTTGTGACTTGGGCCAACCTAGGACCTTTTTGAATTGTAGAAGAATTTTGGGCCGCGTGGCATCTCTGGTTCCACGAAAACTAAGGCCAAATCGATGATTGATTTAATTTTACTCTAAAGTCTCAAGTCTCGGCTAAGGAAATTTCCCTCATAGCCATTGCATTGCCGCCTTGCCGGGTTAATGCGTTTCAGGTTTCACCACCACCAAAGCCTTATCTTTTCTTGTGCCGCGCCCTTCTGCTACTCGAGAGTTTGTACTTGGTACATTGCATACCGTTAGCAAGTCTTCAACCATTCGGGCCGGTTTCTTTGTGGGGCTTGTAGCAAATGCAGATGTCTGCCTGCACCAATCTCTGTTCCCTGCAAAATTCATCATCGTCATTCCATGGAAATGGAATCGTTCTTCCATTGTCTTTCTCCATGGGTCGGCGCCGGTTTTTGTCATCGATTTGTATTCGATCTTCATATTCAACGAGAGAAGACGACTATGCTTCCCTGCCCATTTCAGTCGACATTGCCAGGTTAGCTCTGCAGTTATTGCTCTTTGCGCTTTCTTCAAGTGGGTTGACGAACTAATTGGGTTTTGGTGATTTAGTGTTATGAGAAAGTGACTGGCAATCAGCTCTCTGTGAATGGTATTGTAGTATTATTCATGCAAGCTTTTAAGTTACTTAATTTGGTTTCTGTGTTTTGTGTTGGAAACTTTGGGTTCTGAGGAGAACACTTGATTTTTCTTTTCATTTTTCTCCTGTTTAAGAACATAATAATGAATCGTGGTTTGAGGTTTCTATTAAATTTCATCACCATTCATGTAAATTTCCCCCTTCTATGGATGTTTAGAGATGGAGTCCAAGGCTTAGTTGAAGGAGCAACGCCCGACATGATGAAAAGGCGGATGCTACTCGCAAGTATTTCAGTACTTCTATGTTGCGATCCTCCAAGATACATGTCAGGTCTGAACAACTCATCTTTGTCCTGTCTCGAACCCAATCAAATTTGTAGTTTGTGTATGATAGATGTAGATCATCCAAGATGTTTGTAACTTAACAATAATATGATGTGTAGCAAACCATGTTTTTTTACTTTTGAACGTACTTGTCCGTTAAAAGAGCCGGTGACTATGCATGTGTTTTGGTTAATAATACTATGGATCGACCAGGACTAGGGAATTACTCTTCTTTGAGAAGTCTTAAGGTGTAATCAGGTTACTGATTCCAGGACAGAAGCATTTCCAATATTCCATATAAGGTTCTAGGCCTGTAAAATCAGTTGTTCGCAACATAAAAATTAATGGACAGAAAGCATACGCTATTGTCATTCAAATTGATAATGTGAAGTCATTCTATCAGATTTCTAATATTCATTGAGGATGACTTATAAATGCTCTTAAATCTTAACCACAAACTCAGCTGTTACCAATGACCAACTTCAGTTCACGATTTTTCAGATTGAACATAGGAGTTTGTTAACCTTTTTGATGTATTGCAAATCATGAACTTATATTATCGGATAAATACTTGGATCACAGCAAAAGCATTGGGGGATCCTTCGATGACGCTCGAACAAGTAACTCCTCCTGTTATTGGCCCTGGAACACTCTTTCCTACAGAGGTTCATTCTGAACCTTCCAATTTTTACCATATGTATTTTAAGTGATCCCTTGAGTTCGGCCTTTCATATTGTATGTTTTACCACTTTGTCTTTAATTGGCAGGAAAGAGTTGTCAGGCTGTTTGAAGGCAATACATACTCGGTTGTCAATATCTTTGATGTTACTTTGCGCCCACAACTAAAAATGACTGGTGTTGTTGAGGTAATTCATGATGTAATCTTGTGTTGGTTAATTACATGGTACAAGGCATTCGAATGCCTTGAAGCTTGACAATGTGCTGGGACTCCCTTCATTTTTTCCTTCATGAAGCATTGTTTTTTTTTTTTTTTTTGTTGTTGTTGTTGTATAAATCCTTCATCAAACATTGGTATGTTTATGATTATTATGTCATTTATGTAATTCAAAGTTGCTAATGTGAATTGTTTTATAATGGGTGTAACTCCTCCTTACAGATTCCCGAAGGAAACGGTTCTGGTGTTATCTGGGACAGTCAGGGGCATGTTGTCACAAATTACCATGGTAAGAGCTGTGGTAATGTCAAAAAAGAAATCTTGCTTGTATGACAATTCATTTAGTATTAAATCATGTGAATTGGTGATGTTTATCTTTTGCTTCGCTTTTGTTTGAATTTTCGCTTGCAACATGCTCGGTAGTTTCTGCATAATGACATGTCAACACTCCAACTTATTACGTTCCCAAGTCTTCTGAAAATCTAAGTCATGAAAATTTCTGCATTATTGTGTGGTACCTTTTTGCTTTGATTTCATTCTCAACAGGAGACTTACATCAATATGCAAGTGAACATTTTTTGAACTTTATTATGTAATATTGAATCCTTTTGGATTAATGGATTACTATATGTTTAAAGTGATTCATTCTATTGTGGATATTACCAGTGATAGGTAATTCACTTTCAAGAAATCCAAGTCCTGGTCAAGTTGTTGCAAGAGTAAATATTCTGACATCAGAGGGGTGAGATGTTTAGTGCCCTTTGCTGGCAATTTGACCTATGATATCTGGTGCTGATAACACCTAAGTTCAAAATACTGGTGGCATAAGATTTTTCTGGATTCAAAGTCCTCATTGTTTGTGCTATGCTAAAAGGATTCAGAAGAATTTTGAGGGAAGGCTGATTGGTGCCGACCGTGCTAAGGACCTTGCTGTATTGCAGGTATGATGTCATGACATTATCCTCTTTATCATGAAAATTAGTGGCAAAAAGGATGTTTAAATAAGTTTTCAACAATTCGATTGGCCAGTGTGGGATGATTCTTTAGGTTGGGTGCTCAAGTGATCTACGAGGCAGAAGATATAACAGATCAACTTGCTTCATATGTGAAGTCATAAAGTCATTGCATAATTGCATCAGTCATTCGTTAAATGATTGTTCTGTAATATATGACCTGTAGGTTATTCCTGGCCTCCCCCTTTCATATTTTAACTACAGAGCAATGCGCCTGACCAAAATTAACTAGATTGGGTTCAGTCCGAAGTGAGTAAAAGCTATATATTAAAGTTAATGGTTCTTTGCTCTCATATATCTGTCAGCCATTGTGATTTCTGATAGGTAGAAGCACCTGAAGATCTATTGAAACCGACAAAGCTGGGGGAATCTTCTTCTGTGAGGGTTGGACAACAATGCCTAGCAATTGGAAATCCTTTTGGTTTCGACCATACACTCACCGTTGGAGTTATTAGCGGGCTTAATCGAGATATTTTTAGCCAAACAGGTGTGACGATTAGTGGTGGAATTCAAACAGATGCTGCTATCAACCCAGGGAATAGGTTAGTCCACTGTCATGATGCCTTTCCAATTCTGTTGATCCCATAATACAACAGTTAAGAAATTTTCATTTCAGTTAGTGATAAATGACTATATTACTTATCAAGAATAGTCATGTGCTTCCATGAGAAGCAATGTCATTTTTTGGGCTGTGGGTTTTTAATGGGTTAATTAATGCTATTGTGACAGTGGTGGCCCTTTGTTGGATTCCAAAGGAAACTTGATTGGGATTAATACAGCAATATTTACTCAGACAGGTACGTCTTGCCATACTTATCTATCTGAGACACCTCATCCTTAGAAATGCAATGTTTTTAGGGGATCAGGGAAATAGTAAGCTGGATCATTGCTCAAAAGCACTTGAAACGTTGGTCAAATACTCAAATTGGCGTGTCATGGTCCAATACGAAACCATAAAAGGTGCTAAAATCTTAGTGCTTTTCTGTGTATGGTGATTTGTTGTGTTGGTGTACAGGGACATCAGCTGGAGTAGGGTTTGCCATTCCATCTTCAACCGTGGCCAAGATTGTACCCCAGTTAATTAAATTCGGTAAAGTAAGTATTATGTTTTTTTTCTTTCCTCCATTATTGTAGACCTCAAAAACTGCATGTGAAGAATGATAATATCCTCATTTTTTTATTAGGCTGTTCGAGCTGGTTTGAATGTGGACATTGCTCCTGATCCAGTTGCAAGTCAACTCACTGTTCGTAATGGTGCCCTAATTTTGCAGGTGCGTGTATATGTTTCCTTAAGCTTCATTTGCATATCTATTATCTTCTGCATTATTTTGTTGAATTTTGTCGTCTGGCCTTTAAGGATCGTTTGGATGGCAGAATTTGACGATGGAATGTGGCCTATTTTCCATAGAATATTGCACTTTCCTTTGTTTGAATGACCATTTGAACGATGACACAGTGTCATGCTGATGAAATGTAATCTTATTAATTTGGTGCATTTAGGTTCCCACAAATAGTCTTGCTGCCAAGGCTGGCCTACTTCCAACCACAAGGGGGTTCGCTGGGAACATAGTTTTAGGCGACATCATTGTTGCAGTGGACAATAAACCGGTAAGGCATTTTCTTACTTGGTTTCTTAAGTATAGACGCCAGCTAGAATCTGAATCGACTGATGAATGCTGCATTATGCAATCAGGTGAAAAGCAAAACAGAGTTGGACAGAGTATTGGATGATTACAATGTCGGGGACGAAGTACTGTTGAAGATTCAGAGAAGTGGGGAGAACTTGGAACTACCTGTGACTCTAGAGCAAAGAAGTTGATGACCGGGGTAGGCTTCCTCGTGTAATAGATTCAGAGTTTCGCAGTAAAAAAAAAAAAAACTGTGTAGATATTTCAAGCCCAGATCCTTACATATCATATTCAACATTTTGAACATACTTCACTGATAGTTGATAGATAATGCACAATATTGAAGGCTGAAAGCAAGGAGCAGTTTGGAACAGAGCTCATTGAGCTCAACGTACTTTGTTCATAATGGTGCAAGTCTGATGGTGTGCTCTACCGTCCATGATGTAATATATTGGTGGATAACAAGCACTTATTCTTTTCCTTTCTTTCTACCAACGCATCATTAAATCTCTTCATTTCTTGAACATCATGCAAGTTCAATCCATTTTTTATTTTGAAGTTCTTTTTAATGTAAAATGTATAAAAAGGATTTTTAATGTAAAATGTATAAAAAGGATTAATAATAATAATAACTCATATTTTAATGATATAAATAAATAGTATTTTTCAATTTTTTCTAAAGACGAGATTTTAGAGTTGTTTGGGCCAGACTTCAGTTTTGAAGCATGGTCCATGAAACCGTATCGAAGATCGTACCGGAAAAGTCAGCGGTAGGGTATTTTATGACAAAATTGTGATTCAACCGCAGTTCAGCCCAGGGGCGGACCCAGGGGGTTTTAGGGGGGGTCCCCTGATACCCCTAAATTTCGGGAAAATGATTATCCAACCCCCGGCGGTAATTTACGTAGAGACAAAAAAATATAATTGATAGTGAGGGACACCCCTGAATTTTGAAAAAATGATTATTCTACTGTCATTTGTGTATTAAAAATATAAATGGTAGGTTGGGTAATTCAAATCTAGAGCACTATTATTATTAATATACTTAATTTCCGTTGAGCTAAAACTCATTTGGTGTTCGATTTTGAACAATGTGTAATAGTAAAAAGTCATTCCCTATCTCTAATTATTTCAATCTAAACTAATTTCAATCTACCCTTAATTTGTATTGATTTTATGATTGTACGACAAAGAGTCTTTCAGCTTTGGGTTACATCAACAACAAGTTTACAAATCGAATATGCGATAAGTTCCTAAATGATTGTCTAGTAGGGTATATAGAGAATTTTTTTTAACACTATAAACACCAAGTGTATTCTACAATTATTTTCGAATATGAAAACACATCATGGACTTTTTTAACCTGTACGAGTAATGTATTTTCATATTTACGATTTTATTTTTATTAACTATTTTTATTTAATTTATTTTTAAAAAGAGGACACCCCTATGGAAAATTTATGGGTCCGCCACTGGTTCAACCGTTAGTATCGTTAAATACCACCTACCTGTTTAGCCTCCAATATTGATATTTTATGGCTGAATAGTCTGTACGATACGGTTACATGGACCAAATATAAAAATATTTCTAAAAACTGAACCAAATATAGACATGATTTTATGGTCAACAACGAAATCACAAATTAGTCAATTTGCAAGGTAAAGTGTGCGACCTAATGCTTCGTGACAAACAAAGACGAAGTCCCAATCCTTGTTCCTCTTTGGTGGAAAATAATTATCCATCAACATTCAACAGGCCGTGCCCCATGGGCCAAACCCAAGCAATCTGTTGACCCAGGCCTGGAGTGATACCCATCGAGTCACGGTCCGGCCCGAATCACTTTCGCTTTCGCCGTGTAACGCTTTCTGTTGCCTTGCCTCCGTCTTTGTAAACCCTAAGCCGCTCCTCTTCACCACATATATATTATCGCGCCCCAATCCACCAACCCGTCTCATCTCTTCCATCGATCTGGTGATCAGTTAACGCTCAAGTTTCCATCGCGATTATGTTTTGAGGAAATCATCGGAGTGGGTGGATTGGATAGAAAATCGCTCAGCAGAGTAGAGAATCGGGTTCCCTTTTCTCCGTCGCTGGCTTCTTTTTCTTACCAATACCACCCATTCCATTGAATTCCATCAATGGATTTAAATGGAAGAGATGTATGTACAAACATCCTTGCAATCTCTTCTTTTTCGATGTTCCTCTCATGGGTTATCTCTGTTTTTAACTTATTTGATGAAAATCAATACCCTGGTGGGAAATTGGAAAACAAGGGTTCTGTTCTCTTTCGTTGAACAGATCTCTCGTAGACATCAGGAAGAGAATTTGTTCATCGACTTTGGGTGAGCCTGTTTCTACTGACTCAAGGCTCAGTAAGTGATGATACATTAGATTTATCCTTCTTCGTCTTGTTGCTCTGTTTTGAAGTTTGATTTGTGGGTTTTTGGGTAGTAGTTGATGATGACAATTCCGAAAGGCTTGTTTCTCAAAGAACATTCGCAGTGGCCGACTAAGAGCTTTCGCCTTTCGCCGGGCTTGAGAGCTAATGCTGCTCCCTTCTCCTTCCTTGGATGTCTGAGACTCCATTTTTGTCGTCGTTTGCTAATTACATGGACTGGCTATCAACATTTATGAAGAGATTAGATTACACATAACTTAAAGACTTTTATTGAACCCAAGGGATTGACATATAGGTTGGCAAATGGCCAACACAATTCAGTGATCTCCCAATCAATCAAGGATGAACTAGTGTGGGCTTGTAATCGATGATGAGGAACTTGTCGAGTTTAGGGATGAACAGATCTGCAAATTCACGGTGAGAATGATGAGCCATGTACTCGACGACGTCCTGTTCGGTCTCGAATGTGCACTCGAATATGTGGGTGTATCCTTCATCCATGCCACAGACTCCTACGTCTCTCCCCCTGTTTAGCAAGACGGAGATGAAAACTTTGATGAGATGTCATTGTAATGAGAGCCAAATTAAGGTTTGGTTTACCAGTGGAAGGACTTCATGGACGGGATGAGATTGACAAGATTGGCGTAGTCGTTGATGTGTTGCTCGATTTCATGTGGTGGAATGCCTTCTTTGAACTTTACGACCACTACATGCTTCAATTCTCCTCTGGCTCCCTCCATTTGCGACTTCTGCTGCGCTGTGTCGCTTCGTCTCCGGCCGATAATAGTGTACTACTACTATATATATGCAACAACGGTCCGTGTTAAGTTGTTGGTTAAAAAACAGTGGGGTAATTTCATAAATGATAAACGTGTTCAAAGCTCACCCACCCTCGCCATCATTCTATCTGTCACCACCAGTCCACCACAATCCCCAGCCCTTCTTCATCCGCAAAACAATTGTAGCTAGATTTTATGGGCAAGCAATACAAATATTGTTCGTTTTGGGTTTGTTCTTGCATGGTTTTTTCTCGTAGGATGTACCATGATAACTTTCCGAGAGGTCTTCCATATCTGCACGGCTTCATATTGAACCATGAATCTCTCTATACACGAATGGATGACCTCTCGTGTTTTTCAATTTTATAATTGAACTAAACTTCCATTATTTTGAGGTGGATTGGAGAAAGTCTTTTAGCATCAAGGGAAGGAAAGGAAGGAGCAAGGTTGTCAAATCCATTTATTTCATTGTGCCGGTTTAGTAAGTGGTATGGTTCGAGCGGTGATACAAGTAGTTTGTGTTGATACAACTGATTTGTACTGGTTTAATAAAATATGTAAAAATACAAAAAACCATTAACATCAAATGAATTTTAACATATATGAAACATATTCGAAGACAATTACTTACAATCTATATTCATATTGAAATAAAATACATTTCAAACCAAATAACAAATACTCATACTTAAATACTACATTTGAGATCAACACCCAAAGTTCTATACATAAATCAAACAAATAATATAAACATTTAAAATTAAAATTCATGAAACAAATCACAAATTATTTTTTATTAATAAAATTAAATAAAGCGACATCATTTTATTTATAAGCAAAAAAATTGATCTTAACAACCATACTAGTGGCATTCATGTCGGTTTTATAACCAGAACCAATGAACCAATTTCAACTAGGGATGACAATCAAACCCATACCCACAGGTATCCGACCGCCCCCGGTCTAGTCAACGCGGGGAATACCCGCATCGACTGGGTATGGGTAAAACCCGCAAAGAGTTTGATGGGTATGGAGCGGGTATGGGTAAAACCCGCAAAGAGTTTGATGGGTATGGAGCGGGTATGGTTTTAGTCTCTCCCGCCCCATACCCATGGCATACCCGCCCCACCAAAAGTATTTCTTCACATATGAAAAATATGTGAATCAATTTTTAATCTATCAATAATAGTGAGTACAACTCAATAAAATATATAGTATAAATATAATTGAGTGGTCACCCTAATTAAAATCTAATTTCTTTCTCTTAATTTTCCCTTTACTATATCACTTTTTCCCCTTATTAACAAGATTATGTTAGTTAGTTATTACTCAATAAATATATCAGAGTAGTGAATAATGATTTGAATTACATTGTACTCTATCTTATGGATTAATGGGTGTTTTAGGATAAGATTCTTTAAACCGTTGTGAGAAACCCGCTTCTAGGGTCTCTCGGGACTGATCTTCGGCACCCGCAACTCTCGTTACGATTAGAGATTTAGGGTTGAGATTAGGGATTTAGATGGGAAAAAATAGAATAAAATTGGGAATCGGCCGAGGTCTTGGATTAGGAGAGAATAGAAATTAGGAGTTGAGAGGATAAACTAGGGTTTAGGAGATTCTTCTTAATATTGTTCTTGATTGATTATGACGTAAACCCAAAGTACATATTTATAGGGAAATACTAGAAAACCCTAATAATTATCCCAATACGACTAAATCTCTACTAGCCATAATTATAATTATCCTACCTAATATAATAATAGAAACCCCAAATAAATGTGTTTCTGACAATCCATCCCCCTTGAAAACAACCTTGACCTCAAGGTTGTAGTTGACTTCTACCTCCTTGACCTTTCGCTTTATTCGTTTCCAATTGCACTTGACCATGCGAAGGAATTCTTCTTTGGCATCTCCAATGTTCCTCGTTGCTTCTCTAATCAAGTGACGCATGTCATGTTCACAACCGAACAATTCTTCTTTTTCTTCATTTTCGAAATCCATAAAGTAAGAATCGAAAAACTGCTCTTCTTTTTGCTTCTCTTCATTCACCAATTTGGAATCTTCAAGGAATAGCTTCATAAATTCTTCCATGGACTTGGTGGTGAAGACAAGTTCTTTTAAGCTCCATTCTTCTCTAAGTTGATTTGAATTAAGCTTTAGTGAAAGCCCAACTCTTAATCTAACTAGCCCATCACCTTCCTTCTCCATCTTCTTTTCTGCAAAATAAATCCAATAAGATAGCCCATTGATAGCCCAAATCTTCCTTAAAAAATCGGCTCACTTTCTTTTTCACAAGAGGCACAACATGGAATGAGTTTCTATCCCACTCATAAGCTCATTCGGCTGCCCCATTTGCACTCGGCCCAAGGAGAAAATCTGATGCTTTAGTTGTGCTCCCTGGCCCAAACATTTCGGCCAAACCTCCATTCCTCCTCAGCTGCTGCTAGCCCATGCCTTTGCTCCCCTTCCTCAGCACATGGGTCTGCTCCGCTTAGCCCATCAGCATAGAAGATCTGCACAACTTGGCCCAAACCAGAGAGCTTGTGCGCGGCTGCTGTTGTGCTCCAACGACCCAAACCACCTCGGCCCAACTGCTCTGGCCGCTTGGTGGCGTGACCTAGGATTGTTGGAGAAAGACAATTGCCGTCGCCGCCCTGCTTCTTCCCTTGGTTCCTCGCCGGCGCATCCTCGCCGACCAAGGCCGCCAGCGACGCGTCCTTCAATCGCGCGCCCTCCTCCTCCTCCTTCTTCCTCGGTGGTAGACAGATCGTCGGTTGGCATGGAAACCGGTGTTAGCGAACTAACCACTTGACCTCAATAACTCGAGTTGTTGGGAAAGGGATAGTTAAGCCTTTTAACCTCTTATACGCCCCCTCAAACGAAAGACGATGCCGAATTGTGGATTTTTACGGTTTGCACAGGTTGAAACCTTGTGCTGCCAAACCACGAGGCTTTAGTTTGCACAGGTTGGACATACCATCCCTTGTGCTAAACAAATGGCTGAAAATGAGGGACGTCATGAGGATTCGAAACCATGACCTTTCGGTTCTAGGCTCTGATACCATGTTAGCGAACTAACCACTTGGCCCCAATAACTCGAGTTGTTGGGAAAGGGATAGTTAAGCCTTTTAACCTCTTATAACCGGCTCGCCACCTGCTACTTCTCCGCGTCCTCCGTCAACAATCCACCCGTCTCCTTCTTCTCTGGCGTCTCGCCCTTCGTCGCCATGGGTGGGATGGTCGGCGTCACCTGCGCGACTCGCCCCGACGGCGAAGACTCGCGGTGGTCCTACTCCGCTTCTCTCCTCACAATTGTTGTCCGGGTTGGAACCAATGTCAATCGTGCAAGAGAAGCCGTCGCGTCGATCCCCTGCTTCATCGTCTCTTCGGATATCGTCCACGCAACGAAAGCCGCCGCCGATTGATGCACAGCTCGCGGGATTCGCGGATCCGACGAGTCTATCCTAAGACTTCAGCTCCGGGTCGTCGTTAATTGCTTTCGTGGAGCTTTGTCAATGTCGTCGTTCGACAGACGAGGAACAAAGGCTGCTCATGTGCGCTTCTTACGGAACTTCCAACCATTGATTGGGGACATCAATGGAACTGATTTCAGGTCGAGGGCAGTCGATGCCGTAGACCTGATCTGACCCCTGTGCTCCTGGGTACTTCCGGGACCATGGGTGGAGATTTCGGGCGAGAAGCGTGACTTCCCAACGGTTGGAGCTCTTGTCGGTGAAGATGGAATCGTCACCGCAACGGTATTTCCGGCGAGCTTCTTAGCTGAGCTGGAAAGAACATTTGCGTTGATGGTCACAGGAATGCCCTCGGCGGCGCTTGATCGGGAAAACGGTGATGGCACTTCTTTCGTTGTCGGAGGCTCTGCCGCTGGGGACTCATCGATAGCCGGTTTCGTCTCGATCGGTGGGGGAATGACCATCAATGATGGTGATGTGCAAGGAAAGGAAGTTGCTACTGCAACTGTCTTCTCGGCCACCACTGTAGGTTCCTTCGATGCGGCGGCTGCAGCCTTGAGTGGAGTAACCCGCGCGATATTCCCGGACATCGGTAAGGACGAGGTGACACCGTTCCTCCTCACCTCTTCTAGCTTTGACTTCAAAAGTTTTGTGAGTTCTTGAACCGAGAGCTCGTTGTAGGTCGGAACCAAGGTACGAGTGCCACAACCAAGCTCTTATACCAATTGTGAGAAACTCGCTTCTAGGGTCTCTCGGTACTGATCTTCGACACCCGCAACTCTCGTGACGATTAGGGATTTAGGGTTGAGATGAGGGAATTAGGGATTTAGTTAAGAAAGAATATAACAGAATTGGGAATTGGCCGAGGCCTTGGATTATGAGAGAATAGAAATTAGGAGTTGAGAGGATAAGTTAGGGTTTAAGAGATTCTTCTTAATGTTGTTCTTGATTGATTATGACGTAAACCCAAAGTACATATTTATAGGGAAATACTGGAAAACCCTAATAATTATCCTAATTCGACTAAATCTCTACTAGCCATAATTATAATTATCATACCTAATATAATAATAGAAACCCCAAATAAATGTGTTTCTGACAACCTTAATAAAAATGATTCTCTCTTTGTCGACTTCATGATATAGTGGGTACGTTTAATGTTATAATTTGAAATCTACATGTAAAATATTAGGTATTATAATGCTGGATGTATGGGGCGTGTATTACCCATGGGTACCCGAAACCCATGGGTATGAGGATGGGTTTGCAAAACCTTCCCTCGTATAGGTATAGGGCGATTATGGGTATGGATATTTGAAAGCGGGGATGGGGATGGTTTAGCCAAACCCGCCCCATTGCCATCCCTAATTTCAACCGGTCAGAATTCCACCAGTGTGACAACTATAGAAGAGAGTCTTTGTCAGATAAAACATAAAACCAAAAAGATAACTCTTCATGATGTTATACATAATAATCTCTAGTTCAGGTATTTGTATAGAGACCGGGGCTAAGTTGGAGGTCTGAAATGGTAATTTTTAATCGATAAAATCAGCCCCGTGTAGACGAAAGAAAGGGGGATTAGGGTTCATAATTTCTACGTCTATTAGAAAGTTCAGTGCGTGGAACACATAGCTTAGCCAGTATGAAGGCGCTGCTCGGGTGCAATGCCGATAGAATTAGCAACCTCCCCCACGATGTGATGCAGCGCATTGTCACGTTCTTACCCGTAAAAGATGCAGCCAAAACAGCTGCACTGTCAAAACAATGGCGGCACAACTGGGGAGCAACTACCCAACTGGTGTTCGATGCCCATTTCGGCCGAATCTCAAAAGAGGGAAACTATGATTCGAATGTGAGTAGGCTGATGTTGCAGATTTACAAAGCTTTGCTGGTTCATGATGGACCCATAACCAAGTTCGCGCTTGAAATCCCTGGATTAAGGCGGCCTTCTCCTGATATCAACCACATGGTTCAATTCCTCGCCAAGAAAGGTGTCCACGAACTCACCCTTATCTTCGACGACGACGAAGTTAACGACGGCCACCCGAAGATTGGGCGCGAGATGCCTTCCGCCTTGTTTTCTGCTAGCCAACTCAGCTTTCTGAAAATGCGGAATTGTGATTTTTCTAGGGCACCATCCTGGTTTCTGGGATTCACTAAGCTTACCCATCTTTGGTTAGTAAGCGTGAGTGTGGACTCTAGTTTTTATGACGATTTCCTTCCCAAGTGCCCTCTTCTCGAGCACTTGACACTTGGTGTCCGGGGCTCGAATGCGATCGAGTCTTGTTTGAATGCTGAATTGGTAGCTCCTTCTCTTAAATTTCTTGCATCCAATGTGTGGAATATCTGCTTCAAGCATACCCCGCTTCTTTCAGTGGTCTCTATCGAACCACTGTACCCGGATTATACACGATGCGACTTTCGTGTGTATAATCCGGATATTGCAGCTGTATTTGCTTCTCTCCCTGCACTCCAGCATTTAAGTGTTGGCGGGGAATGGCTGCAGGTAAGTTATAATGTGCTTTCATTTCAGCAACCGTCTGTCTTTCTCTAATACCTCGATTACCTCGATCCATGTCATAATGCTGCTCCATATACTGAATATAACATGCTCCCTACACATGCTGCTCCACATATTTTGAATATAACATGTCTTTTGTTTTGCTCTCTAGTTCTTTGCCTCAGGTAACATCCCCTCCATGCTTCCTACACATCTTCGTCAACTGAAACTTCTTGAAGTGGCCAGCATTGAACTAAACTGTTCGATGGAAACACGCGTTCTTCTTTGTCTAATCATGAGTTCCCCCAACTTGCAAAGGCTCCGCATTTGGGTTGGGTTTAAATGTCTTAGTGAAGTAAAAACTTTCGTTACAAAGTATATGCCAGAATTGCTGTTAATTCTATAGCCTGACCCTTTTTCTTATTCATGAATGTTTTTGTAGCCCAGCGATGCCCAGTCCTTTAAGCCAACAGAGTTTATTCACAGCTTACAGTTACTGATAGAAGCAGAGGACTTCCCTCCTGTGAGCTGTTTTCAGTGCCTTGAAGAGTTTGACATGAATGGCTGTCGGGGTACACAGGTTGAGCTGGACCTGGTGAGATTGGTGCTAACGTCTGCCCCTCGGCTTTGTAGGGTTTTCCTTACGCTGGAAGAAAAATTGGACTACCAAGAGGGTTTTGAATTCTTGATGCAGGTGACACGATATAAGCGTGCTTCCAGAGAAGCCGAGGTCATATGTGTTTGAACAAGGAGGCTAAGACTCGTTAGCTTCCACTCGCTGTGCCCTACATCGACTTCTTTGAAGTTTCTTGGTCAGAGCTCTTTCGACCAGTAACGTTGGTCGCTTGTAGCTTACTCTCTCCTTCCCTTTGGTTCATCTTTCATTTACGTCTTTAAAATTACAACTCATGATTGATTCTAAATGACTTGAGGATATCTGATCAATGGCTCAATGTGATTTTTGGAGATGAAAGGTTACTGTTACTTGTTTGGGCCTTAACATTTTGTTTGCTGTGTCATCAGTTTTTACTCCTAGAATTTTTTTCTTTTTTGACGAAGGGATTTTTAGTGTGTGAGATTAACGTGATAACCAACTACACCACCCATACTTGTTTTACTCCTAGAATTAAACTTATTATCCTATTGATAGAACTGTTAGGTTCTACTTGGTTGCATGAAGAAAACGCTAATGGCTAAAGGAAGATTTGAATGGAAGATTTGTAGACAGATGGGATCTGTAGAATGAATAGATTGGACTCTGGAAATTTTCGATATTTTGGGTGGGAACCGTGGTATAATTAAGCATGTTTCTAGAGATTTTAAAGTCATATACCTGTGAAACGATCAGGTTGGCTCTAATGCCTTTAGAAATTGTAATGATACTACTTTAGTTATTATTTAGTTGGTTCGGGTTTCTTGTTTACTCTGGGTTGATATCCTGAGAAAGAAGCAGATTGTTGCGGCTAGTGGTGAAGGTCGAGGACTCGAATTGTTGATGAAGCGGCAAACTGATTTAGGAGAAACTAATGGCGTTATAACCTGGAAGAAGGGGGAGGGCTTGGAAAGAAGAAACCAAAAGGATGACTTCAGGGGCTTGTACAGAGAAATTAAAAGCTATAGGCTCTGAATAGGAGATATGGTTAAGGGTTGGTTAGTTTGGCTGTGGAAATTTTGACCTTAATTTGCACATCCTACAAAATCAAGGAATTAGCTTGTGAAAATTGAGCGAAAACCATGTTTGGAAAGAGATTATCTTTGTGGAATTGATGGTATGGAATTTTGAGGAAATAGTAAAATTGACCATACCCTTCCACCAACAGAGGTTATTGACAGCTTACAGTTGTTGTTGGAAGCAGAGGACAATTCTACTGCAATCTATTTGATACAATCCTGAAAATCTTCCTAACTCATTCAGGATTGATCGTCGAAGAATCGAAGCTAAACCGTAAAAACTGTCCGAGTGTTAATTGACGATTTTAGGTACAAACTTTGGACATGTGCAACTTTTTGTTGGCTGGATGAAAATTCGACTTCGAGAGCTTGTTTTGAAGAAGAGTTTCTTTTTCCATTGATATGTTTTGGAGCTTAAGAGGAAGCTCAGAAAGGTTGTTTTCCAGGTCGATCAAAGTGCTAGCTCAACACGGGAAAAACTGTCAAAATTGCCCAAGTCTTGAATCGAGTTCATGAAGGTGACTTTGAGCTTCCATTCGATGAGTTTGAGCCAGGTTCGAGTTGCAAGGTTAATGTCACATGAAAGTAGGCATTTCATACTACAACGTCGTGGGATTGGATGATTGGAATGAAACTTGGAAGCCTTCGTACGAAAGCTACAAAGATCGCTCGAAGACATGTTTGCTGCCTTTGAAGGAGGGTTTTTTTTTTTTTTTTAATCCAAGGATCTAGGACTCTTTGGCTGCGTGATTCTGACCTACAACCCTCCTAGGGTCGTATTACTGTTTTTAGTGCCTTGAAGAGTTGAGCTTATATGCAATCCAGGTTACCCAGGTTGAGTTGGACCTGTTGAAATTTTTTTTTTTTTTGTAAGGGCGAAATCTGTTGAGATTTGTACTGGCCACCGCACCACTACTCAGGAGAGTGTTCATCATGCCGGTTAAAACATTGGAACCCAGAGAGGGTCAGGAATTCTAGAATAAAGTGACACAATAAGCGTGCTTTCGAAAGAAGCATAAATCTTTTATCAATGAAGCTGACATTTTGTAGTTTCATTCTTCATGCTTTCAGTCATCTTCCATGTATTAATGCTTCGAAATTTCATGGCCGTGCTTCATCATGTGTTCCTTTAAATGATGTTTGATCTAGAGCTTTGTTTAAATTTTGGAGATGCGAACGTTTTGTTTCTTTTTAAGCTTTAGCATTTTATTTGTTTTGATTAGTGATGACAATTCTATATGCAATTATAGGTATCCAACTCTCGAATCCAATTAACATGGGAAAAGTACTACGAATAAAAAAAGTGATAGAGATAAGTTAAGATACATGCACTCGTCTCCATCCCCATATCCATCCCATACTAAATTGTTATGCTACATACGATCAATTATATGCTATCTTGTTTGCCTCATCTTCCACCAAAATTCAAGAGAATACAATTTCGAACTCTTTGATTTATTTTAAAAAATAAATTATTTGATTCTGCATTTTACATTCCATATTTTAACCCTAATTTCCAAAAGCAATTCATTTTTGTTGTTGTTGTGATTCTAGTACTTTTTGGGTAGTTTATGATATATGCTGTTCATTCAAACCTCTTCAATCACATAAGTTGAACTTACATACATGAAGTTTAAATTGAATTTTCATATTATGTGGGGACAATGATTATTTGTAGGTATCTGAAACTCACGGGATATGAATTAAAACGTCATATCAACACACTTTTTTTTTTTGAAATGTAATGTTCATTAAGAAAGCAATTGGGCTCAGCCCACAAAGGAAATGTACAAGCAGAACAAAGCAACTAGGACTGCAAAAAAACAACCCAACCACAAGGCTCACAGACAAACCCGGATACCCAATAGGGTCCAGGCCCAAGGCCCAAACAAGTTGAGCCCCTCCCACAACCCTAGACGCAGCCGCCCCCTCTGTCATCTTCCAACCGCCGTAGCAGAGGAGCAGCCACAGGAAACAACAGCAGCTCCCACGTCGAAGCACGCCACCGTGAGCCGCATCCCAGAACGGCCATCCACCAACCCGGAAGGCGAGTGGAGGAGGGCATCACCTCCGGCCATCTCATCTCGAGCCGATCGCCGCAAGCATCCCGCCGCCACACAAAGGAAACCTTCAGAACAACCGGACAGACGGAGGAGGAGACGGAGGGTTAAAATACATCTGTCTTCAAGCTCTCCCAACCGGGTCCTCGCTAAGGGCTGCATCTCCAGATCGCCAATACCTGCAAGGCAAAACAAGGAGGTAGACCAAAGGAGAGGAGATGAGGAGACAAGCCAGATCTGACGCAGATCCGACCACTATCGCTTCTTGAACTGGGCAACCATCTCCAGATCTGGAGGCCAAATCGGAGGACAAAAACTTCAACCCACTGAGGGGGGCAAAGGAAACAACCAGAGGTAGAAGAAAGCAAATAACAAACGAGGAAAAAAGGCCCATGTGTGGCCAAAAAAAGCAGAACCAAAGAAAAGGAAACCATAATGAAAAAGCACCAATTGAAGGAGATGGAGGAAAAGCCATAAAGAAAGAAAAAGGGGGCGGAGGGCCGCCGCCGGTTGCCAGAGGAGAGCGGGCGGCAGCCCCCATGGGTGACTTTTAGAGAGAGGTCAGAGCAGAAAAAGGAAAAGAGAGAGAAGCTGTAGAGGATATGAGTTAAAAAATTAAATATGAGGATGCAAATGAGTTAATGACAATTAATCTCAAATCACATCATGTTTGGAGGCCTTCACAATGTAGATGGTAGGGTGTCCTGCTTAACACATAACTATAGAAGAGGGGAACACCTGCCTAGCTACCCCTCTTGTATGATGTCATGAATGATACTTAGGTGGTTGAAGGATTGTGATTAGGGATGTTGATGGAAGCACACTGATCCCTCTAATCCCTACATGGAGTGGAGGTTTTTACACTCATCCTATTGGGTGACTTTATGCTTGATCCCTCTAGTCACTCTCGAGTGATGTCATACTTTAAAGTTTAAAGTAGTTTAATTTAGACGATAAAATTGATATTATAAACCACAATCACTCTTTGGATTTATTAATTTAATGAATGTAATTTTAAGAAAATGGGTAAATTTCACATTTGGTCACTGAAATTACTAAATCGTGTCATGTTTTGTCACTAGAAAAATTTAATATCAATTTGGTCACTCGAATTACTGAAACAGATCACATTTAGTCACTCTCTCGTTAGCCTCCGTCCAACTACGGTCACTCGAATTACTGAAACCTGTCACATTTAGTCACTCGAATTACTGAAACAGGTCACATTTAATCACTCTCCCGTTAGTTTCCGTCCAACTCCATTAATGAATTTGGACAGAATCTAATAGGAGAGTGACTAAATGTGACTTGTTTCAGTGATTTGAGTGATCAAAATTGATATTAAATTTTTCTGGTGACTAAACATGACACAATTTAGTAATCTCAGTGACCAAATGTGGCATTTAGCCTTAAGAAAATTGTAGTGGTAAACTGTAAACTATGAAGGAAGGGGATTGGACAGAAAATCCAAGAAAACTCTAGGGGATTGCTAATTGAGGTTGCTGTAAAGGAAACAAAGGTAAGTTAGAGGACCGAAATGGTAGTTTACTCAAATTAAAATTGAATCGCTATTCGTCGTCCTAAAATTTGAATTTCTTCGTCCTAAACCATATTATATTGACGTTCATACCCCTAACCCCTAAGTTCCCACCCACCCTTATTTCCAATTTCAATCCTCAAGCGCCGCCGCAACGAAGAAGACCGCCATGTCGGTGCGGTGACGACAGAGCTCGCCCTCCTCATGGGGAACGGGAGGTACACATACCCAGCTCCAGCTCCTTGTCGGTGGGGAGCGGCAAGAATCAGCGGCCGATTTGGAGTGATTGGGAGTCCGCGAGGAAGAAGCTCGGACAGTCGAACAATGATCTCTGCCGCATTATTGATCGAATCTCGGGTTGATATTAACCCACAGACATCAAAAGTACCGAAATCGAAACAAAAATTTATGGGAGAACAAGCTAATTAATGTTTAATTCACTCTGTGAATATCTCAGGCCGGAATCCACAGCATGATCGAGATCATGTAGTATTGGAATTGGTATTGGTGACAGTAGCAACGAAGATTTTCATTTTTTTTATTCGGGCCAAATGGCAACCAATTGATCCGAGGTCAAAAGCGAAGAGGCGTCGAGGCTGTGAGAAGATGGCTAAACTGAAAGCCCGCCAGCGACAACAACGGGATTCCGTGGTTCATTTGAGATTGAAATCACAAAGGACATTAAAGTAAATTTAACATAATTAGTGCGACAAATAAGAATTTTTAGGGCGTGGAATATCAATCCCCAATTAAAAAGGAACTGCCTACGGACAGAAGAAAGGGAATTAGGGTTCTATCATTCTTCGTCTCTTTGCGAGAGTTCAGTGTAAGCAACGCATAGCTAGCCTAGAATGAAGGGCTCATAATTCCCGGATTAAAGCCATCTCCCATGCCTTATTCCAGGTTTTGAAATCCCTGGCCAAGACCTCCCTCTGCTTTCAACTGTGCCACCTGGGACCAAGCAACCAGAGCCTTCTTCCTTCTGTCACCATCCACACCTCACAAGAAACTATTGCAAGGCTTCTCAATCAATTTAAGTACCTTTAATGGAAGTATACAGATCGCCATCCAATACTGGAACACACTTGTGATAATTGAGTCTATCAATTGCAATTTTCCTGCATAACTTAAGGATCTGGCCTGCCAAGTGTTTATTCTTTTTGTAATTCTGTCAACCAAACACTCACAATCCAAAGACATCAGTTTTCCAGAAAGGAGAGGGACCCCAAGATATCTAACTGAGAGTTCCCAAAAGGAAACCCAGACTGTTGAGACAACTCAAGTTTAGCTTCTTGTGAGATGCCTGAAGAGAACAACTGGCACTTCTGAGGGTTACACTTCAGACATGAGACTTCATAAAACTGGTTTAAGAGCTGTTTTATTCCCATTATAACATTGGGGGATTTTTCCAATAATAAAACCTTTAATTTTTTTTTGTTTTACAAAAATAGCAACCAACCCAGAAAATTTACAAAACTAGCACCATTTTTATCAAACCGCACCTCCAAGGTGCGTTTTATAATTAAACCGCACCCTCCAGGTGCGTTTTATGTATAAACCGCACCTTGTAGGTGCGTTTCGCGCCACGTCCGACTGGGAACCGCACAAGGAAGGTGCGGTCTGTGTTTTCAGCGGAACGGTCTTCAAGACCGTTGGATGAGGTGGCGATCCAACGGCCGACCGCACGCCACCTCAGCGATCCGCGCCATGGATCGAAAATCGCAGCTGCAAGGTGCGGTCAGCGCCTCGAGAAAAGCGGTCCGCATCGGGAGGGTGCGGTTTTTGGAAGGGAAAAATTACCAGACCGCCCCTGGAGGGTGCGGTATGAGTAGTATAAATACCCCCTCCCCCCCTCTCATTTCTTCACACCACAACCCATTCTTAACTCTCTCTAAAATTATCTCTCAACCCATTCTTCACTCTCTCTAGGAAATAGTGGTCTGTTGGTTGCGGCTAAGTCCGATCTGCCATCAGAAAACATTTCTTTGGTTTTTCCCTCAAAACCCGCCGAATTTCTATCCGACTTTCGCGAAAAATGGACGAGTGGTTCCAAGGAGAGGGAGTTTATTATGATGAATTTCAAGCGGTACGTACTCATTATTCTGGACAATTTTTGTTTTTGTTATAAGCTTTTTAATTAATCTATGTACTAACCTTGTTGTTATTCTCTCGTAGGTTTGGGACGACGTGGATATATACAACCAACGCTATTATTTGGATCAAGGACTTATTGATCCAACCGACTTGTACGACCAACCCAACCATCGTTCAAGGGATGTTTGGAACAATCACCAGGCACATACAATTCTTCATCATTTGTCTTTCTTTTATTTTGCTAATGTACTTAGTGGAATATAAAATAAACTTGAAATAAGTTAATCGTATTGGTTGTTTTCAATAATTTAATTGAATACATAGCGCCACTTACTTCGACTCTTTATAAAGAGATGTACGTCTAAGGAAATGGGGTTTTAAGCAATTATCATGATCCTCCCATTTCCTGAAAAAATCGGGTATTTAGAGATCCTCGGACCCCCCCCCCCTTTCGGTCAAAAAGGCTGCATTTCTAAGAATATTTATACCTCTTCTAAGAGTCTAACGAGTGTTGCATTGTATTCGATTAAATGATTTAAAACAACCAATATGATTAAATTATTTACAAAACAACCAATACGATTTATACTTATGTATACTTAAATGAATTTTATTAATTTCAAATGTTTGAATATGTATGTATCTCTTTAAATTATTATTCATTTATAATGTTATTTATGTCAATTACTTGAGTATGTTTGTTTTATGATAATATGTATATATCTTGGAAAAAACCATCAATTACTTAAATTTGATTGTTAATAATATAATTTTAATATAATTATGGCCGAAATTAAATCATTAATTTTAATTAATTTAGTTATAAGACTAAAATGTTACTAATCTATCATAAATAACGTTGAAATTTTTCTAGGAGGCACAACAAATACTCCGCTACAGGGGTACGACCAAGGTGCTCCCAAGGAACCCTGTTATCTTGCCCTTTCTCAAAAGGGCACGGTTGGAGTCGATTAGGCATTTTGTAGGCATAAAAGTCGATCGCCAACTCATCACCACATTGGTGGAGAGATGGAGAAAGGAGACACATTGTTTCAACTTTCGCGAAAGAGAGTGCACCATCACGCTAAAGGATGTCGCCATCCTAACCCATCTGCCCATCGACGGCAAAGCGGTCTGTGTGAGTGATCATCCCCTCAAGGATCGTGACGGTATGACTGGTTGGCAGCATTTCATCCATAGTGTTTTGGGGGTGAAAGTACCAATCAAGGGGAGCGTTGATGCGACGGATCGCTTGCCACCATTGAGGAAACACCAAGTATCGATCACTTGGTTGACGAAGTATTTTAGGGACCATCACGATCCAGCCAAAGATGGGGTGCCCCTAACCGAGGAGAGTCCGGAGCTAGATAAGGAAAGATATGCTCATGTCTATCTCGTAGGCATGATAGAAGGAGTGTTCTCCAAAAAAATCGAGCAATTTAATTAGTTGTGGATGGCTTAGGATCCTCCTTGGTAGTTGGGATGAGATGGGGGAGTTGAGCTGGGCATCCGCTTGCCTAGCTAATATCTACCACCATTTGTGCAATGCATCTCTCAAAGCTGTGAGGGAGGTCGGCGGCGCAATGTTCATCGTCCAATTTTGGGCTTGGGAGCATCTGCCATGGATTGCACCGCTCCAATGTCCCGACAGGAATTGGGGTCCCGATCATCCCCTAAGACTCGAAGCTTATGGTTGTAGGTAAATTTCTCATACCCCAATTGGGGTCCCGGATTTTACGGACCAATCGGACCTGGACAACTTCGTTTATCAAGCCCTGGAACTCTGCATGCTGAACATCGTCTTGGTCCTCATGGTGGTCTTCCATTTTGATCCATTTCGTTCTGAATTTTCTTTTTCCTCGGTCGACCCAGTTCACGCCTCTGTCCGAACGGCGGGATGATCAACTTTCCTGAGTACACCGGCCAATAAGCTTCATCAAGAAATGCACGGAAACTCCGTCCATAGAAATTTTTGAGTGAGTCGATATTGAAGAATGGACTGACGAAGTGACGGGGGTCTTTGCTCTTGTTTTTAATTACAGCCATTGCATGAGAACATGACCAACCCTCTCCCCTGATACTTCTAGCATGAGTACTCACCAAGTTTTGTCCTGAAATTTACCAAAACTTCATGGCAATGGCCCCCGCGTCTACCATCCTCACGATGTACGGTCGTCACGCTAAACTCGCCCGTTGCCCGATTGATAACGGTTACACTGTGTCAACTACTCTTGCGATTGTCATGCTCCATTTTGTGACTTTATTGGCATGGACCTTTCCCTGTTCCTCGTTCGTCCTTGCCCAGTGTAGTCGATTGACGAACCATCCATTCGTTTTCCAAAAAGTCATCTCATCTCCACAATGGCAGAGATTGGCAGCGCCCGAACACCCTTATAGGCAGAATTGATACTCTCACTTGAGTTCGTTGTGGCAATACCCCATATTGTACCTCCGTCTTTATGAAATGTCCACATGGATAGGTCGTGTCCATCCAGCCACTGCGCCCCTTCAGGGAATAACTCGCATCTTCTGCAACTTCTCCTGGAATATTTTCTCTTGGTATGCAACAGCTGAGGTAATCACAATCAAGTATTACGTTAGTCATAATTCGGCAATTTAGTACGATTCGAACAACCAGCAGGTACTCTCGTTAGACTCTTAGGAGAGGTATACATCTCGTTAGATACACAAACTGGTTGACAGAAAAAGGGGGGATCCAAGGATCGCTTAAAACCCGATTTTCCCAGGAAATGGGAGCACCATGATAATCGCTTAAAACCTCATTTCCTTAGGCATGCATCTCTTTAGAAAGAGTCTAACAAGTGTACCATTTATTTGATATAAGATATTGTTATTTGACAAAATTAAACAACCAATAGAGAGCTTACCAATCCATCACAAATTATCAGCAAGCTTCTTCTGCTTGAAATGATGGTCCCAGTTTCTCTTAAAGTGTCGTATGCACCACCTTTGGGACCACTTCCAGACTGGATCCAAACCTAAGATGGCAGCTCTAATCCCAGCGTGCCGATCAGAGATTATTGTCAGGTTCGTCCTCCTAGTGATGTGGAGCTGAATTTGCCGGAAAAACCATCCATAACTATCAGTATTCTCTCCCTCAACAATGGTGAAGGCTAACGGAAAGACTTTTTTGTTTGCATTCGCCCCACTGGCAATCAGTAGAGTGCCCTTGTACTTTCCGGTAAGGAATGTACCATCCACTTGATCACAGGGACACAGAAGCCAAAACCTTCAATAGATGGCTTGAATGCCCAAAAAAGTCGTCTGAAATGGCGTTTGTTACCTGGATCTAGCGGTTGTATCTCTTCATCTTGGTACCGAGGGGAGAAAACAGTGCCAGGGTTAGACGCCTCTAATGCCAAGATCAACCTGGGAAGGAATGCATATGATTTTTCCCAATCACCAAATACGGTGGCCAGAGCTTTCTGCTTTCCATGCCACGCCTTCTTATAGTTAAATCATATAACCATAACGACTTGCAATATCAGTGATTATGATTTTCACCTTCAGGTCAGGATCTTGCTCAATTAGATGCTTGATACCCGCAGCAACCACCCTGGATTTCAACTGTCGATGGCCTTGAGATGTTATGGATGACACACGTGTGTGTGTTCACCGCACGAGATATGAATCAATGGCCGTGTCTCTTGCTGTTGATGGCTCGAATCCTAACATTGCATCCCTCGTTATGATTACGACATCTGACTATGAGTCTTTTCGTGTTGGAATGAGTTGTGTGGCATTCAAAATGCCGAGTCATTGCTTTAGTATCAATGGCGTGCCGCACCTCCTTCTTCGAGCGAAATTATTGGCCCTTCATAAACCCAGTGAGTGGACCCCATACTGGAACCTCCGGGGGTTCCATGTCGCTGTCGACCATCCAATTGCCGTCTGGAATGTGATTGTAGTAGGGGACTGGTACACGGTCATGAGCCACCTCATCATCATTATCTGAGTCTGACTCTTGTCCTGAATCATCAGCACCTTCAAGAGGGTCGGAGTTGTCTGCACTGACATTGTTCTCTCCTTCTTCATCGGAGGGGTCACTAACTAGTGCTGGCAGGGCATCTTCCATCTGATCCATCTCATGAAAGGCACCTTCATCAGCTCCATAATGGTAGTTGTGAAAACTACCGCTGCCTGATTGGAAGTTGTACTGGGGTTGGTTGGCATGGTTCGGTTGAACTTCTTCTTCATATGACGGGAAAGATTGATGATGACCTTCACCTTGCTCTTGGTATTGAAAATAGGAATGAGGATCATGGTAACTTTGGTAGGGATGATCTCCATATAATTCACCTCCACCATGGATACTAGATGTTTGACCGTCTCCACAATAACCTCCAACGCTTACGACCGCCTCGGTGTAAACAAACATCTCGGCTTTGGAAAGATTGTTGGACCTCAAGAATTAGAGCATGACATATACTTCATCCTGAGTGGTTATTAGATATTCCTCGTGCCACAACGACCCGCCTTCTCTGTTTGGATATCGGTACACCATACGATTAACTCTTCTCGTGCCATCCATGCAAGTAACGTTAGTACAAATTTGATAGAGGTCTTTAAGCATCGGTCTGGTAGCGACCTTTATTTTCTGAAAATTGCCACGGACATAGGTGACCCCCTTTCCGGTCTCTTTCGTGTAACCATTCCACCGTAACCCAGGCGTGAACTTTTGGAATGCCATCTGCAAAAAAACAGTAGTCAACTAATATCATAAAAATCACAAATCACAAATCACAATAAAAAGTAATACAAAATAAACTTACGAGTTAACGTTAACCGCAAAAACACTAGAGAAGTAGGGAGCTACAACAAAAGGGAGTTAACGTTAAGGACCCGATCTGACCCGCTTAAGGCCTATTTCTTAAGGAATATCTTAAACGCCTTCCAACCAATAGGAGAAGGAGAGAGAGAGAGAGAGAGTGATTAGTAATCATTGTGTAACTACATGCCTAATACATTCAAGGGTAAGACTGGAATATACTAAATAGTTAATAATATTATTAATTAAAAGGAAAATTGCGAAAACTAACAAAAATGCGGATTGGATTGTTTTCTCGTGCATCGTTCTCCTCCCAGCCCTAAAACCGCTTCTCTGTAAAACTCGTCGTTGTGCCTCGCTGGAGACGTGCCGTCGCGAGCCGCTTCTCTCCTGCTCTCCGCCGACTCGTTGACCTGCCGTAGCCGTCCGCCGTCTCGCCTCCACTCCGCCGTTAGCAACTGCACATGGAACTCCTTGCCTTTTTATCGTGGGCCGTTACCACTGCTCTGCTTCGTCGGTGTCTCGTCTCGCCGACATATCAACTCCATGGAATTGTCGTTACCACTGCCCTACTTCGTCGGCGTCTCATCCCGCCGGCGTACCGACTCCATGGAATTGCCAAAGCGTGTTTTGTTTGATAATTTTATGTTAATAATGTAATTTTACGTACTTTACATTCTTACTATATTAGACAGTATTAACAACGTAAGTAAAAATGTTAATAATGTATGTAACTGAAGAAGAATCTTGGCAGTAGTTTGTTGACTTTGTTATTAATAACTGGAAAAAGATGATTAATAACAACGACATTAGTTGTTAATAATTATAGTATAAATGTTAATAATCCAGGTGGGAAATTTTCTTCAGTTTATCTAACAGTGTTATTAATAATTGAAGTAGAAATACGTTGACGCGTTAATAATGAGACTAGGGGTAATTAATAATGGCGTCATTGTTTGTTAATAATTAAATTTAATAAGTAAAAAATCATCTTTGCATGTAAAGCTTCAACGTCTTTGAAGTTTAATAATTCGAAAAGGGATGATTAATAAAAATGACATTATTTGTTAATAATTATAATTGTAACAAGTTTACAAAATAATCACCGGTTTAAAGCGACAACGTCGTGGTGTTTTAAAAACTGGAAAAACGATGATTAATAACAACGACATTACTTCTTAATAGTTATAGTATAAATGTTAATAATCAAGGTGGAAAAATCTCTTCTATATTTACCTGACAGTGTTATTATCAATTGAAGTAGAAATACGTTGACGCGTTAATAATGAGACTAGGGGTAATTAATAATGACATCATTGTTTGTTAATAGTTGAACATAATAAGTTAAAAGTCATTTTTGCGTGTAAGGCTTCGGCGTCTTTGTGGTTTAATAATTTGAAAAGGGATGATTAATAAGAATGTCATTATTTGTTAATATCTGTGGAGAGAGAACGTTCGGCTGGAAGTGGGAGAAGGGAATATGACGTTGGGGAGGATACTTGATATACTTTTTATATTATTTATCATTACCTAAATACCCTTTTTTAACTTATTAACTTATAACTCCTTATTAACTACCAAATATCTAACCAGGCAATCACAATGCTTTAAGATCCTCCTTAACAAAGGGAGTTTAAGGACTTGAACTTAGGCCGGTGACACTAGCTATCATTTGGATGTTAATTTGGTTTCTGTTATGAATTAACTGTTTTAAAACCCTACAACTTTCACTACTTGTAGGTTAATAAATGTGCAATTCAGTATATTTTTAACTTTAAAAAATTTCATTGAAATTTTCGATATAAGGCTTTGTTTTGAAAATTTTTGACTTTTCAAGTGTACAATTAATAAAATATAGGGCTAGGATTCAAGATGTACGAGAGTTTTTAATCCTGTGAACCTAGTTATATATGTTGGACAACATACACATTAAATTATAATTTAGGATTTCTCTGAAGTGCTTTTAATAATAATGTAATAAAAATAAATAAATATTTCCCTCACATGAAAAGAAATTTTGTTTAGCATCACAAACCAAAAATTCTGGCTCCGCTTCTGCTTAGCCGATATATGACCACTCTGATACAGTATCCCAGCTAACACATGACCATATGTAACTTTCTTCATTATTCGGATGGAATTACCAACTCTAACGAGGCTTCACCATCAGAAAACTTGTCTAACAAGTCAGCCAACTCCTGACTTCGTTCCTCGTACTCTTCCATGCACGCACTCCTGTTGTCATCAAACCATTCTGAAACTTATCTCAAAGCCCTCTTCACCGCGGTCTTATCACCCTCATCATCACGCAAATGAAACTTGTCATCGGCCTCGGCCTCCTTCAAATCATGAATGTGTCTCTCCAGTCGGTTCCTCGCATTAATACGCATCCTCTCCTTCTTGTCTTGCTCAGCCATCTCCCTCCCCTCGCTCACCATCCTCTCAATCTCCTTCGAGTCCAAATTCCGACCGTAGTTCTTGACGGTGAGCGATTTGGAATCCCCGGTTGCTTCGTCCATGGCCGTGACGCTCAAGATGCCGTTCGCATCGACTTCGAATGTCACCTCGATAGATGGTTCTCCCCTGTACGTACGTGGTTGCATGGAATCAATTTCCACGGGTTACAGTAACAAATATTCTGAGATACGTACGTAACGTACCTATGTCCCGGTGGACTGCATGTTAGCGTAAAACTTCCGAGCAGAAGGCAGTCATTGGTTAGGGCTCTTTCACCTTGGAATACCTGAAATCAAACAGAAATGGAATAAAATTACAATTCAACGGGTTACTATTTACGTATATCGAGTTGATAAAAAACTATAATTAACGAAACCTGAATAGAGACGCTAGTTTGCTGTCCATGAACAGGTTTGGCGGGCACGAATCCCCTGCGTGACTTCTTCGTAGGTATGACAGTATTTCTGGGCACAACTACAGTCATCAGATTACTTTGGGTTCTGATACCCAAACTCAAGGGTGTGACATCAAATAGAGTAACACCTAGATCGATAACACGTACGTACTTTGTGTCAGCAAAAATATAGTTATATATTTATTGAAAGAAATGGAGCCCTAAACACGTAGTTACAACATTACCGGCTTGGACGCCATTGAGATTGGCTCCGAGGACAGCTGCACCATAAGCCACAGCTTCGTCGGGATTGATACCTTTGCTCGGCTCCTTCCCATCGAACATCTTCTTCAGCATCTCCCTCACCCTGGGGATTCTAGTGCTGCCCCCAACCAACACAATCTCGTCAATCTTGTCCTTCCCCACCTTTGCATCTTCCAACGTCGTCTTCACCACTTCCATTGTCCTCTTGAAAAGTTTCGTATTCAAATCCTCGAATTTCGCCCTTGTCAGTGGCTCGGAAAAGTCCATCCCTTGAATTAGAGAATCGATCTCCACCGTAGTCTGTATCTGAGCGCTCAGTACCCTTTTCGCCCTTTCACATTCCCTGTGCAGCTTTCCCAGCGCTTTCGAATCTTTACTTACATCTTTCATGTACCTCTTGCTAATCAGATCTATAAAGTACTCCATCACCCTCTGATCGAAATCTCGGCCACCGAGATGTGCGTCGCCCCCTGTGGCCCGTACCTGGAATAAAGTATGGCAGGGGCGAAGCTATGTTAGGTCTTGGGGGCCAGCCTCTCGAGAATATTGAACTTATTACACATATAATTCTACGAAATTTGGAGAGTTACTTATATATTTGAATAGTATTAATAATTATCTACCGAATGTGAAAATTAATACAAAAATTATTTGAATAATACTTAAAACTAGATATTTTTGTTCTTCGACTTTTGAACTTTCCTTTTAATGCGATGATTAAAAAAATTTGTCGAATTTCAAATCCCGACTCCACCACTAAAGAATGGTTAACCCTTGTTCGATTTTTGACTAGTATAAACCATAGAAAGTACCTGAAATATGCCGTTGTGGATCTCCAAAACGCTGACATCAAACGTCCCGCCACCCAAATTGTAAACGAGAATATTCCTCTTTGTGTCAGGATCTAATTGTTTCACACCATAGGCCAAGGCGGCGGCCGTGGGCTCATTGATTATCCGTACAACGTTGAGCCCGGCGATCTTTGCAGCGTCCTTGGTCGCTTGCCTCTGCGAGTCGTTGAAGTAGGCAGGGACGGTGACCACGGCGTTGGTTACTTGCTTCCCAAGGTAGGATTCCGCAGTCTCCTTCATTTTCAGCAACAACATAGCGCTTATTTCTTCGGGAGTAAAGGCTTTCAGCTCGCCATTATCAACTTCAATTTCGACGCACGGCTTTCCGTCCCTGTCAACGACGGGGTAGGGCAAGTACTTCATATCATTGTGGACATCTGGGTCGTCGAACTTTTTGCCGATGAGACGCTTGACGTCGAAGATTGTTCGGCGAGGGTTGCGTACTGCCTGATTCTTGGCAGATTCGCCGACGAGACGTTCGGTATAACCGCCGGCGGCGGGAGGTGAGAAAGCCACGTAGGACGGGGTGGTTCGATTGCCTTGATCGTTGGTTATTATTTCGACGCCGTGACCCTTTCGAGCGACGGCGACGCAGGAGAAGGTAGTGCCTAGGTCTATCCCGATCACTTCTTGTCCACTGATCTCTCCGTCGTCCACCATTATTTTTTTCCTTTCAGTAGGGCGAATGAATCTTGGGAAGTTTGTCAAGTGCAGAGAGAGTTGTTTAATTTAGGCTTTGTGAATTGAGAGTCTGAATGTTGAGGGAATGAATCGTTTCATTCGTTTGAGTTTGTATGTATAAAATTAAACGTCGGCCTTTTGCCTAGAATAATAATTACTAGCTAGGGTGCCTGTTCAATTTCCGCCTTAATTGTAGCTTTGAACTTGCGAATATGGCTGTGTGCGGAATGAAATGCGACTCTTAGTCTTTGTGTTCAAGGGAATTAAATGCGACTCCAAGAAGATGGAAAAGGATTTGGACGAGATCAAAGAGAAGCATGAAAACTCTGAAAATCTTGGAAAAAATATGAGGGCATCGATGGCATATACAGGGAAAATGGAGAAGATTATTCCTTACGCATTTAACGGTATTGCGCCGTCACACCAAAAACAAAAACGGTATTGCGCCAACCAGTATGAACTATGAAGAAAGGAGAAAGCTAATTAACATAATTTAAAAATTTCCACGGATATAAAATCCAACCAATCCTTAATATCATAAATTTGTATACATATATTGAGTCGGGGGTTTGATTTTCCATTTCTACCGAGACTACAATTATGCGCATAATAATAGAAAATGATTTTGATACATGAATAATGACGATTCAAGGTGTATGACAATCTATAATGACGATTAAGAATGTAGTATGCGGGTGATCAATGATATTCCTCCTTTAACGCAAAATGAAATGAGGATCGGAATTACCCAATCACCACTTTTGTTTATTTAAACTTGGCAATTGGGAAAACTTACAAGAGAGAATGAGCGGCTATGAGGCTTGTAAGTTTTATACCTATTCGTTTTCTTTCTTACGTGCTAGATCCCTTTCCGCGTAATAATTGTGCTTAATGTTTGCATGAGACCATGTCGTGATACCATTAACGAGGAAGATGGAGACATAGGAGTAGAACACATCCTGAATGGCTATCCATATATATTACTATAACCCTTAGTCAAACTTGATTGAGTCTGCCCTGTTTCTTCCGTTGCAACATGTTTAATTTTCAACCGATCTATGTTCTTTCAAACCCTTTCAAAGTTTCATACGATGTTTAAAATATGGTATGCTACATTTTAAAAAATATGAGCTAAGGAGGGATTATATAAAAAATACGATATTATGCCAATTTATCATGATTGGAGGTTTTAAGGGTGTCCTACTTAACACCTTAATAGAAACGCAACCCTTGAGGAGGGGGCTTCTGCCTAGTTGCGCCTCTTATATGATGTCATGCATGATACGCAAGTGCTTGCAGAATTTTTATAAGGGATGCTGAGAGGTAGGGGTAGGGGTGGGTAACCGGACCGATCCAAATCGAAATCGAATTAAATCGAACTGAAATCGAATTAATTCTATTCGGTTCGGAATTCGGAAGAAAAATATGGATAGTTCAAAAACCAGGGTTCTCTCAACCGAATCGAATTTCCGAATTTACGACCGAATAACCGAAATACTATAATTGCAAGCTCCAAATGGTGGATTTTTATGTTTGTAGTTGTTTTAAGACTTAAATATTTGAAATGTTTTATAACTTATGTGTTGAAAAGTTTGATTTTATCATTGATGATGCATATAATTACATATTTATTGTTTATATTAGGGGTAAAAAATAATTAAAAAGTGAGAAGATACAAGTAACTTCACAAATTCGGTTTTGTGTGAAAAACCGAATTGAATTATAATTCGGTTTAAACCGAACGAACCGAATTATAATTCGGTTTGACGTTTGGAAGAATTCGGGGACCCGGTATTCATAATTTCGGTTCGGTCGAAACCGAACCGACTGAATGCCCACCCTTAGGTAGGGGCAGGGTTTTAGAAAAAGGATGTGATGTTGGTGGTGTGGAGGTGTCTACTACACGAACTCCTTTCGATGACTCTATGCTTGATCCCTCTAGTCACTCACTGTCATACTTTAGGGGTCGTTTGGATGTGGAATTTTAAAACGTTAAAATTTGTCTGAACTTCCATGTTTTACAAAACCAAGGAATTGACTTGTGGAAATTGAAAAATAATTCACATTTGGATAGGGTTTAGTTTTGTGGGAATTAATGGTGTGGAATTTGAAAAAAGAAGTAAGAAAACGTTGTAATGTCAAATTACTAAGGGGAGGTGTAGTATTCTCAATTACCATGAATGTGGTAATATAAGCCAATTTCCATGGTCCAATTTCCATAATATTTTTGCTCTCCCAAACGTGGATTTTTAACTCAATCACTGCATTATGTAGTAATTGGGTCCAATTACTGCATTACATTTCCACATCCAAACGACCCCCTTAAAGTAATTTAATTAAGGGTTAATAGTATTTTGTACCCCTCTACTATGGTAAATTAACAAACGTACTCCTCTGCTAAATTTTCGCACAAACATACCCTTCTATTATTAAAACGTAACGATTCTACCATTCCATTTATTTATCTGTTAAGTGGCTGTTAAATGACTTGTGAAATGACTGAATTGCCCCTCATTTACCCCACTCCTAATATGTGTTTAATTAATAATTATCTTATTTATTTAATCATTTGCCCATCGCAGTTGACAGAGAAGTTCAACCTCCTCAAAGCCTCCGACCTCTCTAAAGAGATTAAGAGATCCCCAATGGCGCTGCAGCACTGCGGCGACGGGTCACTGCTTCGACCCTTTCTTCACGTAGTCCTTGCATTCCGCCGCCGCGGATGTCGACCCCGCACGTTCTGGCTTCGGCTGGCCTACTTATTGCCAGAAAAAGCAGCAGCAGAGCCGCCGCCAGAACTAAGCCGGAGGAGGAGGAGTTGCCAGATTTGGCCATCTTTTTTTTCTAAGTACGTAGTTGGATGTGTTATTTGGAAATTTGGGTTTGTTTGTTGGTTGGTATGGTGTGGTTTTTGCCTTTTTGGTAGAGGGGGTGATTGTAGGGATTTATAGTGGTGGAGGGTTTTCGATTTCGTGGGAGAAATTTGGGATCCTGCTGTGTGATCGAGGGGAGGTACATATGGATTGAAACGTCACGGGGAATCCGAAACAGGTGCCGGCCAGGAGATGTCGTCTGGTCTCGCCGGTTCTCTCTACTCCAATTGCCGGCTAGGAGATGCCGGAGCAGGTGCTGCCGCCGCCGAGTCAAGCTTCTGATCGCCACGGGAGAGTACAGGGTAGCGGTAGTCAAACGATCTCTGGTCTCTCTGATCGAATGCTTCTGTATTAGCTTAGGGATTTCATTTTGTTAATTAATTGATTTTGGATTGGAACACAATAAAATAATTATCCAAATTAGGAGAGTAAGTAAGGGGCAATTGAGTGATTTCACAGGCCATTTAACGGTCACTTAACAGATAAATTGACGGAAGGGTAGAATCGTTACGTTTTAATAATAGAAGGACATGTTTGTGCGAAAATTTAGTAGAGGGGTACGTTTGTTAATTTACCATAGTAAAAGGGTACAAAATACTATTAACCCTTTAATTAACTGAATCACAATTCGTCGCCCTAAAATTTAAATTTTATCGCCCTAAAATGTACTAAAGTGACATATTTACCCCTCAACGAAATTTCAATCCGTCGTCACTCCCCCACCCTCATCAGCCGCCCACCCCAACCCCAGACGGCCAGACCCAATCCCTCCCGCCGACCATCAACCCTCTCACACCTAAATCCGACGTATCCAGCACCCACCCCAATCAGAGGAGGAAGAAGCATTTATACCCATATATATACCCCTATCCCCAATTTCAATTTCAGTTTGTTTCTCCCCTCGTAATTTATAAGTTTTTAGATTCTGCATATGTATTTGTGGAGTTGATCTAATAGTATTGATCATGATATACTTCCATGCCACCACCGTACGTACGTCTCCATGATTGAAAGCTTTGATCCATCCCACAATCGATAATTTATAAGTTTGTTTTGGATTTAAGTGTTTAAAATATAAATAAATTAATTAAGGGTAATAAAATAAAATTAACTTAATTAGGGCGATGAATAACAACACCCATTAACAAGATAAAGTTGGCATTAGGGATGGCAAAGGGTCGGGTTGGGGCGGGTTTTGTCAAACCCAAACTCATGGGTTTATCCGCCAAAAAAACCCGGGGTAAAACCCGTTGGGTTTGAAAAACTCAAAGCCAACCCAACCCGCCGGGTTCTTGGGTACCCGTGGGTTTTTCTAGTAAAAAATTTACAATAACAAGTTTCTTTCAAAATAAAAGTTTTAACATAACTTTTCTCATACAAATTAATCATACAAAAAACACCAATCTAGAGCATACAAGCAAACCGCAAATGATCAATACAAATTTTTCAAAATTAAAAATAAACATCTATAAAGAATAAGATTAATTGAAAGTTTCTTCCTCGTCAACTAAGTTTCTTCATTATTCACTTCATAATATCAACTTCATTCTAAACAATTAGAAAGAACAAATTATACATGTCTCCACAAACATAAAGAATAATAGTTGTTTAAGGAAGATATATTATTTAGAATATTAAATATACCGGGAAAGTAATTATATGTGTGTGGGCGGGTACCCATGGGGCGGGTTTACCTAAACCCAAACCCAACACGACCCAGTGAATAGTGTAGCGGGTTTAAATCCAAACCCGACCCAAAACCCTTCAACACGGGTTTTACCCATGTTGACCGGATTGGATCGGATGGGTACCCGTGGGTTCGGGTTTTGTTGCCATCCATAGTTGGCATTATAAACCACAATTGTAGTGGTAACTAGGGCCTTGTAAAAAAAAATCGAGTTGAAGGTGCTGGAAAGGAAACAGAGGTAAGTTGGAGGACCGAAATAGTAGTTTACTCGAATTGAAAAAGGAACTGCCTGCGGACAGAAGAAAGGGAATATAATTAGGGTTCTATCATTCTTCGTCTCTTTGCGAGAGTTCAGTGCAAGCAACGCATAGCTAGCCTAGAATGAAGGGCTCGTGCGGGTCCAATGCCGATAGGATTAGCAACCTCCCTCGCGATGTGATGCAGCTCATTCTCACATTCTTACCTGTAAAAGATGCAGCCAAAACAGCTACACTGTCAAAACAATGGCGGGAGAATTGGAGAGCGAATACTCAACTCGTGTTCGATCGCGATTTCAGTCGGATGTCCAAAAAAGAACTTTATGCGTTGCATTCGAGTAAGCCATTAATGTTGGAGATTTTCAAAGCTCTACTGGTTCCTGATGGACCCATAACCAAGTTCGAGCTCATAATTCCCGGATTAAAGCCATCTCCTGACATCATGGATCTCATTGTGGTCTACCTCTCCAAGAAACACGTCCAGGAATTCATCTTGGCCTTTTCTCATCACCTTGACGACGACGGTTACCCAGCAATTGACGGCAAGGTTCCTCCTGCCCTGTTTTCTGCTCGCCAGCTCAACTATTTGAAACTGCATGGTTGTGAATTTACAGCACCATCTTGGTTTTTGGGTTTTAGTAACCTAACCTTTCTTGAGCTAACTCATGTAATTGTTTACCCCAATTTTTACGGCGATTTCCTTCCCAAATGCCCGCTTATCCAAAGTTTGATGCTTTATACTTGCGCCTCGGCTGCTGTGGAATCCCATTTCAAGGCTGAATTAGTAGCTCCTTCTCTGAAAGTGTTTGAATCCAATGTATGGAATATCTGCTTCAAGCATACCCCACTTCTCTCAGTGGTATCTATAGGAAATTATTCTAGTGTAAAGCATTGCGAACATAGCAACTTTAACGAGTATAATCCGGATATGGTAGCTGCATTTGCTTCTCTCCGTGCAATCCAGAAGTTAATTGTTGGTGCTGAGTTGCTGCAAGTAAGTTTTGATCTGCTTAATGAGAAGATATTTCTGCTCATATCAATTTTGTGCTGTGCATATATAACATGCCTTTTGGTTTACTCTCCAGTTCTTTGCCTCAGGGAATGTCCCCTTCATGCTTCCTACACTTCTTCATCAACTGAAAGTCGTCCAACTTGAAAGCATTGTGCTATATCGTTTGTCAGAAGCACGCGTGCTTGTTTGTTTAATCACGAGCTCACCGAACTTGCAAAATCTCAGCATTTGGGTTGGTTTAATTGACTTGTGAATTGAAATTTTTAGTTGTGCCTGTAGTAAATGTGAGTATTGCTGTAAATTCTATAGCCTAATTCTTTTTCTTGATGAATGATGTTGTAGTCTAGCTCTGCCCCTGGCCTTCCGCAAACAGAGGCGATTGACAGCCTACAGTTGTTGTTGGAAGCAGATAACCATTCTACTGCGAGTTGTTTCCAGTGCCTTGAAGAGTTGAGGTTAGATGCAATCCGGGGTAACAAGGTAGAGCTGGACCTGTTGAGGTTTGCACTAGCCACTGCCCCACTGCTTCGTAGGATTTACATCAAGCCGGCAAAAGAATTAGACTCCAAAAAGGGTCACAAATTCTTGAAGAACGTGACACAATATAAGCGTGCTTCTAAAGAGGCAGAGGTCATATATATTTCAGATGACGAGGCTGACACTTTGTAGCTTCACTCTTCCTGCCGTTGGGACCATCATCTTCCATGCATCGCGGCTTCTGTAAGATTTCATGGTCCTAGTTACTCCTTTGTTCCTGTAAATCATGCAAGGATGTTTGATCTGTATCTTTGTTTAGATTTTGGAGATGTGATGGCTTTTGTTTCTTGTTCGGCCTTAACATTTTGTTTGTTCTTACTTCTAACTGAACGCTAATGCTCCAAGCTTATTTGGAGATAGAACTATTGAGTTCTACTCAGTTGCATAGAGAAAACTCAAAGTGGTCCGAATGAAAGATTTGGGAGTAGATGAATCATGTAAAATCAATAGATTAACATAGAATTGAGGAATGAGGTAGCACTACTGCAGGCCATGACATCTTTGAGACCAAGACGTCCTTGAAGGCCAAAGTCCTACAGTGAGTGAGGAGGTAAAAGCAGGGATCCTGCTAGCTAAGGGGTTAGCTCGTTGGGAGATCTAAATGATGACAATGGATTCCATGGTAAAGGGTGTGTTGCCTCACTTGCAACTAGAGTTGAGATAGAACTCGACTCTGTTGCATTGACAAAAATCAAATGGCTAGGGTTGGTTTGGATGAAAGATTTGAGTTTAGATGGATTCTGTAAAATCGATAGATTAGACTAAAATGATTTTATCGAGAGAGTTTTCATGTTATAAGCTTAGAATTGAAGACCGAGGCAGTGGCTTATTTGAGATCAAGACCTCTTTAAGGCCAGAACCCTACGTTATAGAAATTCCTGCTAGCAAAGGGTTACCTAGCTCCAGATGGTGTGAAGGGTTACTTGCAATCGAATGTCTCGTTTGATCGCGTTTTCATAACTAGTTGTTTGATTTGATGTCTATTTGTTAGGATATATAAAATTCAAAGGGTTGGAAAGCCTGAGTCATTACGACAATAGCTAAAATCATGGTAGACCAACAAGGGATTGATATAGTGGTAATACCAATAATTTTAAATTTGGAGGTAACGAGTTCAAATATCTCAAGTAGTTACTACAATCACTAAAAGTAAATTTATATCACGTTATAAAAAACCCAGGCAAAATATCAATAAACAAAGGATAGACGCATACCCAGTAACTAAAAAACCACAATAATTAGCACAATCTCACTAATAGGCTGACAAGTGACAACTACTTATCCAGTTGTTAATATGAGAAAACCCAAACTAATGTGGTTGCTTTTTGAAAGGAACCGTAATGGCGTTAATAACATGAACAACATAAAGAGGTTAGACAAGTTGTCAAACTGGTTTAAATCGTTTGTTAGTGAAGCAAATGGTTCAAAAATTTTGACTCGATTTAACTCATTTTATTTTTTAATATTTTATACATAGTTACAAAAATATGTATATGTAGTAATTTAAGATTTTAATGACTTGAATGTAATTTGATATGAGATTGTGAGAGTACCAAAGTCCAAAACACATTATTTTGTTTAAGAGTCTGAAACCAATCAATTTAGTCAAATCACTGATTTTTTGCAGTTTTGACTGGCTTTGACCAGCTAAGTGTTTGGAAGGGAACTGGTTTTATGTGTGCCCTTTTCACTTTTCAGCAGACCTGATCCAACCGGCCGACCTAACCAATAACTACCGCTTGACAACAAGTCAACAACAACGTCAAGACTATAGAATCAATAAGGATAATTTTAGGGGTTTGTACCAAAATAGGGTTAATTGCATGGTTGGTCACTAAGATTATAAAAAACGTTCAAGTTTGGTCACTAGGAATATTTAAATTCATCGGTGATACTTCAGTTTACTGAAATCGTTCATGTTTGGTCACTCTCCGTCCAACTCCGTTAAGTTTGGCTGACGTGGCAGTCAACTTTCAAAGTTGACCGTTAACTTAGTGACTTGACAATTAAAAAATAATAAATAAAATAAAATGTAATCTTTTACAATTTCCAACTCATTTTCACAATAAAATAAAATAAATAAAATAGAAAAATTATAATTAGAGATTTAAGAACTTAGAGACGTTTAGATTTGAATTTTTTGGACCAGGTTCGATTAAGTGCCAAATGATAATTCCTCGTTCCTACTTCATATCTCTTCCATTTCTCTCTGAGAAAACCGGCGCCTCTCGTGCATGTGTGCAACCAAATCAGCCCCGGAGAAATACTCCAAGAATCGGTCAAGATGGGACGTCGGAGCCATTCTTACAGGGGACATAACTCATCAACGTCTTCTCTTTGGGGCAAGTCTGTTTGTTGGAGAAGAACATTCCGCATTTCAGGACGATCTCTGCCCCGGGCGATGCAGAATACAGTTGTGACGATGGACATCCAGAATCCTTTCTTGATGAGATCTCGGCACGCAGGCCCCACCTGTTGAGGAATAATACCTCTGGCGGGCTCTTGCACCGGAGAATTTGTTGTATCGATCGACGAAGGTCGATGATTAAGCCGTTGTGGGTGTCAACGATTTCGTGGGGGAATCCGTCGGCGAACCTATTGTTGCTGAGATCGATTTTGTAGATGTACTTGATTTCGGAGCCAAGACTGGGTGGTATCTTGCTGGTGAAGTTGTTGGAATTGGCGTGGAATAAGGTCAGGTTGTCGAGCTCGTCGAGGAATGCTTGGAGCGGGAGGTCGTTTCCGTCGCCACCGAATATGTAGCCACCGAATTCGTAGTCATAGAAGTCGGCGGCGGCGACACCTATTGTGTTAATGACTGGGCGAACGGTGCATCGGAAGCCTTTGTAGTTGCAGATGTTATTTCCTTTGGGAGTTGCAGAGGCGGAGAGTATTTGGGAGGTGGCGGCGAGCTTGGATTCGGAGTCGGAGGCGGGGATGATGTTGTGGTGGAGGATAATGGAAATTAGAAGGAGGGGAAACAAATTGATCTCTCCCCTGTTGGGTATGGCAGCTCAGATGGCCGGGGAATGGGAGTGGAAGAGGAGAGAAAGTGAAGCGGCGGCCATCATGTTGTCCGCTTCTGGGAGCGATTCTCCAGCAGGCAGGAGAAGTATTAAATCTCTAATTATAATTTTCCTGTTTTATTTATTTTATTTTATTCTGAAAATGAGTTGAAAATTGTAAAAGATTAAATTAAATTTTATTTATTATTTTTCAATTACCACGTCACTAAGCTAACGGTCAACTTTGAGAGTTGACTGCCACGTCAGCCAAACTTAATGGAGTTGGACGGAGAGTGACCAAACATGAACGATTTCTGTAAACTGAAGTACCACCAATGGATTTAAATATTTCTAGTGACCAAACTTGAACGTTTTTTGCAATCTCAGTGACCAACCATGCAATTAACCCTACCAAAATATTTACGGGTCGTTTGCTTCATGGATTTGAAAAAGGAGGGTTTTTGTAAAACCTGGGTTTTGGTAAACCATGGATATATGATGGATTTGGTGGCATTATGGATTAGAACAAGTCTATTGTTTGCTTGTTGGATTTGATTATGGATTTTGTTTGCATAGATTTGTGGATATGAAATACAAATTACCTTGTTACCCTTATCTAATTATATTTCTATATTATAATACAAAATTTTCATTAAAAAAGTTCCAACGCATACAATGAAATTTTAAATGTTTTACCTCTTTGTGGGCTAATAATTCAACTACAAATATAGAAATGTATTACAATTTGGCACTAATTTACAACTCATCTAATAATGTACGCAATATTATGTATCAATTGCAATTAAAGTTGCATGACCATTGAATTAAAGTAGGACAACTTTGTAATTAAATTAAAGTAATAAGTAAGGGTAGAAAGGTAATTTACCATCATGGATTATAACTCATCACTCAAATCCCACCTCAAGAGGGGGAACTTCCAAGTCTGTGGGGTCCATGGATTTGAAACCCCAAAAGAGGCGGGATCCACATATTCCATCTCCCTAATTCCTCAAGGCAAACGATGGATTTTCGTTAAAGTCCATGATGGATAGAGTTGACGGTGCTGGATAATAATTAGGGTAAATACAATTTAATATCCAAATCTTTCATTTTAAACAATATAATAGCCAAACCTTTTCGAAAACAATCTAATATCCAAATCGTCAACTTTCTGTCTGTTTGACCGTTAGTTGACACTTCAAACAGTTCGTGAAGCGGGAGCGAGAGCGAGAGCGGGAACGGGAGCGCGAGAGCGTCTGTTTTAGGAGAATTCAATATCGAGAGCGTGGAGAGAGCGCTCAAATAGTATTCTTATAATTAATATCATAGCAGTAAAATAATATCATTATATAATAAAGAACATAAAATATAAACTATATTTTATGGTAAAAATATAAATTATGTGGTTAGTAGCTTAATAACTAAAAATTTAATCAATTAAAAAAGACAAATGTGTTTATGAAACAAAATGTAAAAGAAAAAACTAAAATAAGAGTTACTCATTAGTCATTGTCCGCATGGGCACCAAGCGGCAAGTAACCCCAAAACGAAAAAGAAATATTTCCATCGGTGGATCTCTAAACAGAGCCGAAGCGGAACGAATGCTCGGATTCGCCCAGAAGCTAGCTCCTCCTGTCTGGGGATTCCATCAGAGCAAGGATTTCGCTACGACCGTCATTGCTCAGGAGACCGATCCCCTCCTCGACGGCTCCGACAAGATTTTGGCCATCACCGAAGTCGGCTATCTCCGGCGAGAAGATCAAGGAAAACCACGACAACTGGTACTCAATTCTTCAATTTGATCCCACCGGCACTGACGACGCAGACCTCATCAAGAAACATTACCGCTACCTCGCCCTCCTCCTCCTCAGTCTGATAAGAACAAATTCCCCTTTGCCGATCAAGCCTTCAAGGTAGCAGAGAAAGATGGGAAGATATCTCATCTTATATTCTGCATCCGCGCTCCAAAAAATAAAAGTCGCGCTCCCATAAAAATAGTTCGCGAATTTTATCCCGAATTGCAGGCGATTCACGATTTCCACGCGCCAAAGCGGGATCGTGGAGGCCCACTCAGCGAATAGGGTTACCTAATGTGAAACTGCATCACAAATTAATTGTTCCGCGCTACAAATTAATTGGTGTGGTCTAACCGAGCTAAAACGTTTAATAAAATAAAAAATGTAGATAAGATACCGAGTAATTAAACAATTAGTTGAAAGATGAAGTCTTTCATTTCTTCAAATTTCTATTGAGTGAAAGTTTGATTTAAGAAAAATTAAAGTAGAAGAAAGATAATTATCTATTGAAGATAATCAAAGATAAAATGGGTGAAGACGAAATTAAACCGAGAGGCTGAGCGAAAATATATGCTTAGACAGAAAACTTGAAAAGACCCACTTTTGGGCCTAAAACAGAAACGTTTTAAGTTATGGGCGCTGGACAGAAAACAGCGCTAAGTTGGAGGACCGGAATTGTAATTTACTCAAATTGGAATGGGAATGCGGCAGTCAGAACTCAAAAGAGAGGGAATTAGGGTTTCTATCGTTCTTGGTCGCTTCCGTGAGTTCAGTGCAAGACGAAGCTACAATGTCAAGGCTGTGCGAATCAAGTGCCGACAGAATCAGCCATCTTCCTGATGATGTGATGCAGCGAATTCTCTCGTTCTTACCCGTAAAAGATGCAGCCAGAACAGCCACACTGTCGAAACAATGGCGGCACAACTGGAGGGCAAATACCCAACTCGTGTTCGACGGCGATTTCGGCGAAATCTCAAAAGAGGGTAGCTATGATTCGAATGCAAGTAAGCTAATGTTTCAGATTTGCAAAGCTCTGATGGTTCATGATGGACCCATAACCAAGTTCGTGCTTGAAATTCCTGGATTAAGGCGGCCTTCTCCTGATATCAACCACATCGTTCACTTCCTCGCCAAGAAAGGCGTCCAGGAGCTCGCCCTTATCTTTTCTGATGATGGAATTAACGGCGGGAACCCGATGATTGAGCGAGAGATGCCTTCTGCCTTGTTTTCTGCTTGCCAACTCAGCTCTCTGATATTGCGGGACTGTGATTTCTCTGTGGCACCATCTTGGTTTCTGGGATTTAGTAAGCTTACCCATTTTGAGTTAGCAAACGTAAATGTGGAATCTAGTTTTTATCGCGACTTCCTTCCCAATTGCCCGCTTCTCCAAGATCTGAAGCTTTTTATCTGCGACTCTGATGTGGGAGGATACCATCGGAAGGCTGAATTAGTAGCTCCTTCGCTCAAAGTGTTTGAATCCAATGTTTGGAATGTCCGCTTCAAGCATACCCCACTTCTTTCAGTGGTATCTATCTCGCCGGTTAATGATCCAGAGGATTGTGAACAAAGCGGCTTTCATGTGTATAATCCGGATATTGCAGCTGTACTTGGTTCTCTCCCTGCAATCCAGGAGTTAGTGGTTGGCTTAGAATTGCTTCTTGTAAGTTCTCATTTTTTTTTTCTTTTCTGAAAGCATCTGGGTTTCTCTATGAGTCAATTCATATCATTGTTCTGCTACATATATAACGTGTCTTTTTTTTTGTTTGTTTGTTTCTTTCTGTTTTGCTCTCTAGTTCTTTGCCTCTGGTAATGTCCCCTGCATACTTCCTACACATCTTCATCACCTGAAAGTCCTCGAACTGCACTACATTCTACTGCATCGTATATCAGAAGCGCGTGTTCTTCTCTGTCTAATCACGAGTTCCCCCAATTTGCAAAGGCTTCTCATTTTGGTTGGTTTGAATGTCCTTTTTAACTGAAATTTTGGTTGATTCTATAGCCTGACTTTTATTATTATGATGAATGATGTTGTAGTCCGGTGCCGGCGATACCCTTCCAGAAAATGAGGTTATTGACAGCTTGCAGTTGTTGTTGTTGGGAGCAGAGGACCATTCTACTGCAAGTTGTTTTCAGTGCCTTCAAGAGTTGAGCTTAAAGGAAGTCCTGGGCACTCGTGTTGAGTTGGACCTGTTGAGGTTTGTACTAGAGACTGCCCCACTGCTTCGTAGGATTTTCATCAGGCCAGCGAAAGAACTGGAGACAAGTAAAAGTCACAAATTCTTGAAGGAGATGACACGATATAAGCGCGCTTCCAAAGAAGCAGAGATCATATATTTTTGGAATGATGAGGCTGACACTTGATCCATTGTTCCTGTAAATGATGCGGCGATGTTTGATCTATCGCTTAATGTTAATTTTGGAGCTACACTTAATCCTTTGTCCCTGTAATTGATGCAAGGATGTTTGATCTAACTTAATTTTAATTTTGAAGGGAAGAGGTTTTTTTGTTTTGTTTTTCGCGGGAGGTGGCTGAGGTTTACCCTTATAAGTTATAACTACCGTTTCCCGCTGTGCAGAACTATGAAACTCAAGCTAGCTGCATCCCGAATAGAAGAAGTTATACTAGGCATTTTCATGGATTGTGCCACACCCTTTTCACAAGATGATAAATGCTACTACATTTCCACACCCTTTGTAGATTAGACTTCATAAACTGTTGCGATTTCTCATGGCAGGTGGTACGATACAAGTATCTACAAAAGTTTCTGGTATGCATTCCTATGTTTATATTTCTGAAAGACCATTGCCATGCCATGTTGCTGCTGTCATCTTGAGTGATATGAACCAGGAGCCAATTCAGATAACCTTCTTCATGTCGATGGCCCTTCAAATGAAAAGCCTCATCGTATCGACTCAGGGCAAACAAGGTAAGTATTTGATAATTATTCATGTAAAGTTAATTAGCTAGTTAGGTTATATTATTTTAGTTGGTGAACTGAACTGTATTGAAATTATAATAGAATTACGTATCAAATTTTTTGAAATTAGTATAATTTTATATTAGATTAGATAGATTAGAATTTATTAGGAGAAATTAGAATTATTACGAATGAAATTGAATTAATATAAGTTTTGTGCACTATAGGCTAGTGATCGACCTTACTATGTTTGAGGTACGACCAATTTAGTCACGTACCATGAGCGTTATCAGCCATATCTCGGAGCGGCTGAGTTGTCTAGTGTTTTGCCCATGGTCTCTATGAACTCTGATGCGAGTTTGATTACTACGCTCGTAGAGCGGTGGCGACCCGAGTCGTCGACCTTCCATTTTCCGTTTGGTGAGGTCACGATCATGTTAGAGGACGTTGTGACACTGTCAGATCTGGCGATCGACGGTGATGCCGTAGTAGTTGACATACCGAATGAGGAGTGACCGACGATCTGTTTGAGACTGTTAGGACGGGTTCCGGATGATCTTTCAGGTGGTATCGTTAGGATTGTTTGGCTGAGGGATGAATTCAGTCATCTGCCGGGAAATACATCACAGGAGGTTACAGAGCAGTTTGCACGAGCTTATGCTCTATCTCTGATGGGAGGTGTATTGTTCCCGGATCGGTCTGGAGCTACGGTGCACCTACATTACCTACTTCTAAGTTCTGATTGAGGATTGGCAGAGAGCTGGATGGTTCGCCTGGGGAGCAGCTGTTTTATCCTACCTATACCGTGAGATGGGTAGGTTGGCTTTGCACATTATGGATTCCTCCACTTCTCTAGGCGGTGACCTTGGTGGATGGGTCGCCCTACTGCAGCTCTGGGCGTGGGAGCGATTCCCACATCTGACACTGCGACATTCAGAGACGAAGGCGCAGATTGCCGAGGATGCATCACCACGTGGTCTTCGATGGCTTCCGGCCAACACTCGTCAGTATGGTGACCAAGTATTCCAGTACAAGCTGTGGTTTGACGATATGGAAACTATGGTGATTAGTATGTAACATTTCATTTTATAGAATAATTTTCATTTGTTTGTTTTAGATTTAAGGATAATAACGTGGCCATTTTTTTGTGTAGTGACAACCTTACGTTGAGAGAGCACTTCATCTCAGAGGTAGTGTGATACAGTTTGAGACGTTTCGAGCAGTAGTGTCACTTATATGCTTTTCATCGGTGATGTGGCTCCATCCAGACCGCGTGCTCCGGCAGTTTGGCATGAGGCAGTACGAGGTGAGTTTACGTGACGTAGTTCGGACTAGAGGGATGTCCACCGACCAGTGTGAGGAGTTGGCCAACATGATGACATCAGAGATTGCTACTTTAGGTTTGGAGCGGCGCAAACACCCTGATCTCACAGTCCCTGTACAACCAGCTTATGATCAACCCGTTATGGTTGCCTGGCCAGAGCGTACTGATTCGACACCGGACTGGTTCGTCTCGGAGCCACAGTTCATACAGGAGCATATGCCACGTAGACAGCGACGTGAGCATCGTGATGTACCTAACCCAGTCCGGATTTCAGATCGACAGCGATCACAGCCCGTCCGGCCTACTACGACCTTCCGGTTTAATCCGCCGTTTCAGCCAGGCACTTATTCGGGACATCAGACTGGCGTCACTTCTTTTCAGGCATGACCTCATTCAGCATTTCAGCCTCCTCCTCAGCCGCAGTTTCACTCGGATCCTTCTTCAAACTTCCAGCCTCCTCTTCAGCCGCAATTTCACTCGGATGCTTCTTCGAGCTTCCAGCCACCAGAGGATAGCTTCCATACACCGCATCATCAGACGATGGGAGGCGGATACATGGCCTCTGGTAGTGATACTAGAGCAGCCTCTCGTGCAGACCCGTGGGACGTTCTAGTGGGTAATGAAACCTTTCAGGAGGTGATGTGGAATTATGAGCAACACCTTCAGTCGCAGGAGCATCGTGGCGGTGTACCTGAGGAGCAGATTCAGTCCCAGCAGGATGATATGTTCGGTACGCAGGATCAGGATGGTAGTGTCTAGGGAGATCAGCCCCAACATGATGATGGTAGGCCTCCACGAATCAGGGTGCCAACGAGGTGTGGTACTGGCGGCCATCTAGTGGATCAGCATGGTGGTCGTCGTGGTGGTCGTTAGAGAGATTATTATTTTTGTTATGTTATTATTATTTGGGATATTTATGTGGACTATTTTTACATTCATGTATTATGTTATTAACGATAACTATTCGGAACAACAAATAACAAACAACAACTAAGACATTTTATAATTTGGCCAAGAACAACAACCTTCTTAAACCATAAGAACTACTTGAAAAACAACAACTACTTCAAACCACAACAACTACTACATTTGATAAAAATTCGACTAAATTACATACCACCTCTATCCACTACTTCCTCTTCCACCACCTCTCGCAAGTCGTTGGCCACCACTTCCTCTTCGCTGGCTCCCACTCCCACTTGCTTGGCCACCACAAGTTGATGCATTATGACCACTTTGGTTACAATTGCTACACACTTGTTGTGATACACCCTCTCTTGGCCAATCCATCTCGTTGTGAATTCTTGCAACTCGTGGCCTCCCCCGGCTTTCTAATCATGTGCACATTAGGATGGAGAATAGGATCATTATGCTTCTTCCAACCTTTAGGTTCACCAAAAGGTGAGAAACTTGTCCTATAACAAGCCAACACTGTTTCAAACTTGTAGATATCGTTTGCAAACCTATACGGATTAGCCCCCATTCGGTTGCAAGCTGCAATGGCATGAGAGCAAGGCATTTTATTTCCTTGAAATTTCCGACAAATGCAAAATCCCGCCCGGTTGTTGTCATCGAAGTGCACTGTGAATGTGTTCGAACTCGTCATGTTGAAATTGTTGGGAGGAGTCTGGACTACATAGATGCCTTGACGTCGATTAACCCCCGTCACGGTATGTCCAACTGCCTTTTGCGACCATGGCTTCATCTTCTCTTCGCACTTGATGGTGTACTGTGAACGACCACATCTGATTTGTGCTTCTGTCTCCAATCTCATCTTGTCGAATTTCTCCAACAATCGCCAATAAGTATGTTGCACAAGAGAAGTTATAGGAAGTGAACGAATACCTGTGAAACACCATTGATGCTCTCTGCCATGTTGGATGTCATGATAGACCACCGACGCCCACCATTTTAGTTATCAGCGGACCCACCGTAGTCCTGGGCGCCATCGCCAGGTACAAATTTCCACCTACTCGCCTCAGTCTGAGGCGGTACCACCTCAGTCTTGGGAGTCGCCGCTGTCAACTTAATTAAATGATCCAAAAAAACAGAAATAGCGGCGACGCCTGGTCTCAGGTTGTCCCGCTGGTTTTTCTCTCCAAAACACAATAACTGTGTTAATACTTTTTAATCCGCCATATTGATGATAAATTAAAAAAATATACAATATTTATGCCATTAACCCACCAACCCTCTTCAATAAGGGTCCAAGTAATTCATTTTTTGGGTTAAAGACACATTTGGTCACTGAGATTACAAAATCGGGACATGTTTAGTCACTAGAAAAAGTTAATATCAAATTTGGTCACTACAATTACTAAAACTGGACACATTTAGTCACTCGCCATTAGTCTCCGTCCAACTCCGTTAATGAAGTCCGTTAAGTGCTAATGTGGCAAACAGAATTGCCTAATCAGTCGGATATGACCCAACAAAAATAAAACCCGACCCGCCACGTCATTATAACCCGCCACGTCATTAAAATCAACCCAACCCATGACCCAACCCTACCCAACCCTTCTTCCTCCTTCCTCCCACCTCCTTCTTTCCCCAAAACCGCCGCCGCCGCCGCTCCCCTCCTTCAGCGACCAAATGTGTCTTTAAATTCGAATAATACAACCCAAACCCGTACCAGATTGACTCAGAATTCCAGCATCAGAGTTGAGTTTGAAAAACCCCTCCGGCGGCGGCGACCATCTGTCCGGGGAAGGATTTCTTCTGCGTGTCACCAACTGATGGCCCTGAATGGAGTTTGCAGCCCTGAACGAATCAAGGCAAACCAAGGCTCTGGGGATGATATCTTCTTCAGCAAGCTTATGATTGTTGTTCAAGTGATTGTAACGCTCTTTCCACAGGTACCATAAGACCACACAAAATTTCTGAATTTTGCTTTGTTCAAACTTCTTCCAGACTTCTTTAAACCAGTCTAAACACGATATGCCCCCCCCCCCCCCCAACCCAAACTCAAACTTATCTTTTTCATCACAGACTAGCCATCTACTTCTGATCCAGCCATTTTTTATGAAGCCATTTAAGGATTAAGCTTAAAAGTCAATATTTTGTAGGTCATTTTATTAACAAAGATGGTGGAGAATGTAGATGGTTATTTTAGGATCGAT